CAGGACAGAAATTGAAGGGTAACCTCTGCAAAAGAGACAATTAAATCTTAAAAAGTATAATACCAAAATCTCCTGTACTACCACAAAAAAAATGCACTAAAATTAACCAAAATGATGATTGAAGCAGCTGTTCCCATGTGTTCCCACACCAAAAAACAATCAAGGCAGCACAGTGGCTAAGTAGTTAGCACATCCGCCTAGCAGCACTAGAGTTGTCTGCTCAAATCCCAACCATGGCACTACCTGCCTAGAGTTTGTATGCTCTCTCTGCCCCTGTGTGGGTTTCCTCCAAAGACATGCTGCTAAGTTAAAGTGGAACTCCACCCAAAAGAGGAAATTCCACTTTAAGGCCTTGTCCCCTGTTCCCTGGTAAGGATTGGCATCTTGGGGGAGTGGGTTCCCACTTCTGCTGTGATCACCTAGATCAGGGGTCTCCAAACTTTTCAAACAAAGGACCAGTTTACTGTCCTTCAGACTTTCAGGGGGCGGATTGTGGCCAGCGGGAGTAAAAAATGTTCCTGATCCTGCATCAATGAGAATAAACATTACCTTAGGGCAGGGGTGTCCAAACTATGGCCCTCCAGCTGTTGAAGTACTACAAGTCCCATCATGCCTCTGCCTCTGGGTGTCTTGCCTGTGGATGTCAGAGTCTTGAAAGGCCTCATGGGGCTTACAGTTCCTCAACACCTGGAGGGCCATAGTTTTGGACACCCCTGCCTTAGAGCAATCGTCATTGGTATTAGTGGCATAAAGAGTGCCCCATCATTGGTATGAGTTGAAGACTTAGTGCCCCATTGTTGGAGCCAGTGGGAGGAATACTGATCCATTGTTGGTGTCAATAGGAGGAATACTGTTGCATCATTAATATTAGTGGGAAGAATAGTGCCCCATCATTAATATTAGTGGGAAGAATAGTGCCCCGTCATTAATATTAGTGGGAAGAATAGTGCCCCATCATTAATATTAGTGGGAAGAATAGTGCCCCATCATTAATATTAGTATGAAGAATAGTGCCCCATCATTAATATTAGTGGGAGGAATAGTGCCCCATCATTAACCACTTGCCTACCAGGCACTTATACCCCCTTCCTTACCAGGCCAATTTTCAGCTTTCAGCGCTGCCGCACTTTGATTGACAATTGCGCGGTCATGCAACATTGTACCCATATGAACTTTTTAATCATTTTTTTCTCACAAATAGAGCTTTCTTTTGGTGGTATTTAATCGCCACTGGGCACTTTACTTTTTGCGCTATAAATAAAAAAGTGCAAAAAATTAAAAAAAAAAAAAGTTTATTTGTTTCTTTTATAAAATTTTTCAAACAGGTATTTTTTCTCCATCACTGATGTGCGTTGATGAGGCAGCACTGATGGGCACTGATAGGTGGCACTGATGGGCACTGATAGGCAGCACTAAAGGGCACTGATAGGCAGTACTAATGAGGTGGCACGGATAGGCGGCACTGATAGACAGCACTAATTAGGGGTCACGGATAGGCGGCACTGATATGCAGCACTGATAGGCGGCACTGATAGGTGACACTGATTATGGGTACTGATAGACGGCACTGACTGGCATCACTGCTGGGCACTGACTGGCGGCACTGACTGGCACAACCCCTGGGCACTGACTGGTGGCACTGACTGGCAGCACTGCTGGGCTGCACTGGTGGGCGGCACTGGTGGGCGGCACTGGTGGGGTGGGCACAGGTGGGTGGCACTGGTGGGCACAGGTGGGTGGGCACAGGTGGGTGGCACTGCTGGGCACATGTAGGTGGCACTGCAGAGTGGCACAGGTGGGTGCACTGCTGGGCACAGGTGGGGGCACTGCTGGGCACAGGTGGGTGCACTGCTGGGCACGGGTGGGCGGAGCTAGTGGGCGCACTGCTGGGCGGAACTTGCGGGTGTCACTGCTGGGCACCGATCATCAGGGCACTGATCATCAGTGCCCTGATGATCGGTGCCGATCCCCGCTCTGACAACTGCCGGTTCTCGGCAGTACTTTCCTCACGATCTGACAGCGTGAGGAAAGTGCAGCCGAGAACCGGCACTTGCATTTCCCTGTGATCAGCGTGTCATTGGACACCGCTGATCACGTGGTAAAAGGCCGGTATGATCGGCCTTTTACCACATCTCGTGATCAGCTGTGTCCGTAGGACACAGCGATCACGGAGATCGCCGGGTGCGCGCCCCCTGGGGCGCGCAGGAGAGCGCGTTCTGGGGGGACGTCATATGACGTCCACCCAGAACTGGCCGGCCGCAGTGCAGCCGTCATTCGGCTATCTGCGGTCGGCAGGTAGTTAATATTAGTGGGAAGAATAGTGCCCCATCATTAATATTAGTGGGAGGAATAGTACCCCATCATTGGTGTCAGTGGGAAGAATAGTGCCCCATCATTAATATCAGTGGGAGGAATAGTGCCCCATCATTGGTATCAGTGGGAGGAATAGTGCCCCATCGTTGGTATCAGTGGGAGGAATAGTGCCCCATCATTAATATCAGTGGGAGGAATAGTGCCCCATCATTGGTATCAGTGAGAGGAATAGTGCCCCATCATTGGTATCAGTGAGAGGAATAGTGACCCATCATTAATATCAGTGGGAGGAATAGTGCCCCATCATTAATATTAGTGGGAGAAATAGTGCCATCATTCGTGTCGGTGGCAGGAATTATGCCCCACTGTTGATGGAGGAATAGTCCCCAAGGCAAGCAAAGGGCCGCATCTGGCCCTCGGACCACAGTTTGGAAACCACTGGCCTAGATGATTGGAAGCGAATGTTCTACTCTCCACCACCTCAATCTTCTGGGACTTGTGACAGGTCCCATAGGACTGCGGGACCATTCAGAATGTGCAGTGTTGCTTGCGGGTGTCCACACTTAAGATGCCGGCACCAGAGACACAGGACACCCGGTGAGCCTGGATGCGGTGAGGACACCGCTGGATCCTAGGACAGGTGAGTGGCTGTTTAAAGGAGACTGGACAACCGCTTTAATTAGCTCCTGTCTAATTTGGCCCTACTATGTGAGTTAGGGACCTAAGGCTGAACATACATTATACAATTTTCTTGAGATTTGTGGTTTAGATTTACCAAAAACCATATAATAGGTCAAACCTAAGAACACTTTCAATTGTATCCATTTAGGCAGGCTCTTGCACTACATAGTTGAAGGTAAATCTAAAGGAAATTGGGCAGAAATTGGACAGAAAATTGTATAGTGTATGGCCAGCCTTAGTTTGTAAGCTCATTGAGGCTTAAGCACTGGTGCGAATTTACAATATTTGTAAAGCACTGTGTAAATTGACGGCACTGTATATGGGTATAGAAAAAAAAATCGCCCCCCTTTAAAATAATCACATTTTGTTGCTTTGCAGCCTGAAATGAAGACATAGCTTTTGTTTTATCCAGCTTTATTTACTCAGTGTAACTTGTAACATCCAAGTGAAAAATATAACACCAACATGTCAGCAAAAAGAAAATTCAAAAACAGAATCACTGAGTTAGAAAAAGGATCACCCCCCCTCCTACAAAAAACTCAATCAGGTGTAGCTAATCACCTTCTCAATGGCACACAAAGTCATTTGACTTTCATCTGTGATCGGCTGTGGTCATTATGATTAGCTCAGCATGAAAAGAGCTTTCCTGGAGCATTTCAGTCCTTGGTAGTGCAACTGAAGCAAACCATCAACTATGGGTGGCAAGGCACTGTCAAAAGATCTCCAGGATAAAGTTTGTCGGCAGGCACAAGTCAGAACATGGATCCAAAAAAAGTCAAAGGCTTTATCAATGTCTAGAACCATAGTGAAATCTATTATTAAGAAGTGGAAGGTATTTGGTACAAAACAGCCCATCCCTGGATCAGGATGTCATTCCAAACTGGATGAAAGAGCCAGGAGGAAACTGGTCAGAGAGGCTACCAAGAGGCCTACAGCAACTCTGAAGCAGTTGGAGGAATTGATGACAAAGAGTGGTCATTGTGTGCATGTGACAACAATATCACAAATCCTCCACAAATGTGGCTTGTATAGGAGGGCTGCAAGAAAAAAGCCGCTCCTCAAGAAAGGCCACATGCAGTCATGACTGAGCTTTGCCAAAATGTACCTTGAAGATTCTGAGTCCGCATGGAAAAAGGTGTCCTGGTCAGATCAGACTAAAATTGAATGATTTGGCCTCAACACTAAACGATATGTCTGGCGAAAATCCAATCCAGCTCACCATCCAAATAACACCATTCCTACAGTAAAGCATGGAGGTGGTAATATTCTGTGATTGGGGGGGGGGGTCTCTGCAGCAGGGACTGGAGCACTTGTCAGGACAGAAGAAAAAATAGGTGGGGCAAAATACCGTCACATTCTTGAGGAAAATCTGCTGCCCTCTGCCAGAAAGTTGTCAATGGAAAGAAGGTTTACCTTCCAACATGACAATGACCCAAAGCACACAGCACAAATGACCGCGCAGTGGTTGGAGGAGAAAAAGGTGAATGTCCACCTCAGAGCCCAGACTTAAACCCCATTGAAAATCTGTGGAATGACTTGAAGACTGCAGTCCACAAATGGTCACCATCAAATTTAATTGAACTTAAGCAGTTCGGCAGAGAAGAGTGAGCAAATATTGCAAAGTCTAGATGTGCATTTATTAGAGACATATTCCAACAGACTAAAGGCTGGAGGGTCAACCGGGATTAAAGTTTAAAGCAAAAGGTGTGTTCAACAAAATACTGACACAAGGGGGGGGGGGTCCCTTTTACAAACTCAGTGGATTCTGTTTTGTGATTCTGTTTTTCCAATTTTTAAAAGACATGTTAGTGTTATATCTTTCAATTGGATGAGTAAATACAGAAAAGAAAATAATTTAAAGAGCATTTGTTCTGATAGGTATTACATCTGCTTTCATACCCACCATAGCACTGGTAAAGTCTGTAACACAGTTACTCCTTAATTACTATGTGGTGGAATGAGCCTGTTTTGTTCTCTTGTGTTGAACAGATCGGTCACTTGTGGAAATGTGCTGCTGCCTGGGTTTCCTGTTCACGCCTCTCCCCACGTCAATTATCATCGCACTTATCACTGTTGGGATATCGGCATTCATCTATGTGCTTTCCAAACCCAAGCCCGTCTACCCGCCTATAGACCTCAACAGACAGTCCATCGGAACAGAGGTAGGTCCTGGAGGATGGCAGCACCAGCCACATGACATGGAGTGGACTCTGATTTCTGCTTCCAGGGCTCAAGCAGGGACTTGCATGATCTGACCTTTTTGCCGGCCATACACCTGCACGTTTTCAGGCAATTTTCATAGATCATAGATCTATAGGCCTTGCTCACATGGGTGGCTGTTATAGGCAATGTACCTCCTGGACACCTGTTTTATGGGGGATATCCAGCCACACCACATGCATTAGTTATGATTTCGGTCTCATTCACTTGAATTGGCGTATTTGACTGTGGTACAGCCTGTCAAACGTGCCATTTGGTAAAAAAATAATGCCACAATGCAAGAGACGTCTGCCTGCAACTTACCAATGAGCAGTAAAACATAGATCAACTGCCTGTAGAGAAATGCCAAGAGAAATATGTATGGAAAGAAAGAAAGAAAGAAAGAAAAAAGAAAGAAGAAAGAGGGTAAGAGGGAAGAGAGAAAGAGAGAAAGAAAGAAAGAAAGAAAGAAAGAAAGAAAGAAAGAAAGAAAGAAAGAAAGAAAGAAAGAAAGAAAGAAAGAAAGAAAGAGGGAAGGAGAGAAAGAGAAGAATGAAAGAAAGAAAGAAAGAAAGAAAGAAAGAAAGAAAGAAAGAAAGAAAGAAAGAAAGAAAGAAAGAAAAAGAAAGAAGAGAAAGAAGAGAGAAAGAAAGAAAGAAAGAAAGAAAGAAAGAAAGAAAAGAAAGAAAGAGGGTAAGAGGGAAAGAGAGAAAGAGAGAAAGAAAGAAAGAAAGAAAGAAAGAGGGAAGGAGAGAAAGAGAGAAAGAAAGAAAGAGAAAGAAAGAAAGAAAGAAAGAGGGAAGGAGAAAGAAAGAGAGAATGAGAGAAAGAAAGAAAGAAAGAAAGAAGAAAGATTTTCTTTCTTTAAAGGGACAGTGGGGAAGGAAGAAAGGATGGAAGGAAAGTAGGAAGAGAGGAGAAAAAGCAAGGAGAGAAGAAGAAAGGAAGAAAGGAAAGAGGAAGGCAGGAGGAAAGGAAGAGGGAAGAAAGAAGGAAAGTAGGAAGGGCTAAGCTAGTTTTTTTCTTTTTGAAAGAGACATTAGGGAAGGAAAGAAGGAAGGAAGAAAACAAGGAATGAAGGAAGAGATGGAAAGAGAAAGGCAGGAAGGGAATAAGATAGGGAGCGAGGGAAGAGAGAAGGAAAGCAGGGAAGGCAGGAGGGAGGGTGGAAGGGATATTTCTTTTTCTTTTTTGAAAGAGACAGAGGAGAATGAAGGAAAGAAGGAGCCTTATCTGATCATTGCAGTAATTACTATAAAAAGGTTTAAAGGGCGCTCGCTTGGATTGATTTTTTGACAAGTGTTATGTGACCCAATCACAGGAAAGATTTTATATCGACCAGAAAAAACTGCAAGTAAAAACTATTCATATTACAGACAGAGGGTGACAGCACTATTCACAACCTCATATACAAAATGTATACAAGGAAGGAAGCAAGGAAGGAAGGAAAGAAAGACTTTTGTTTTAATTTCTGGAGTTTTTAAAAGAAAATTAAAAATAAGTTTGACTGGAAAACCCATTTGACTTTTTCTTGGTATACAGGAACAAGTAGTGTAGAGATTATATCGGCAAATCTGCAAATGTTCTGTGAAATTTGGTAAATGTTTTGTGAATTTGGATGCAGGGTGGAGCTCGGAGATGTGCGCTTCTGAAAGATGACACCCTGATGACCCATTACTATGAAGATGCTAAAACGCTGTATGAAGTATTCCTGAGAGGTCTGCGGGTGTCAGGTGAGAGGGGCGGAGTCTTGGTAAATATTAGTGGATGGCGGGTGGAGGGAGGTATTGGTAGTGATCATTACAAATATTGAAAGGCCCACGATTGGTTAAATATCATTACAAGCAAGAAATACATGAGACATGGCAGACATAAGTTCAGCAAAAATTAACTTTACATTAAGGATTATATTGTATATTATTATTATTATACAGGATTTATAAAGGGCCAAGCAGATTGTGCATTGCTTTAGATTTGTACGTTGTCGACGTACAATCTTTAGGTGGAGGCAGGGTAGGCCTCTCTGAATAAATGAATTTTCAGGGACTGATAAAGGTGGACAAGGTAACAGATAACAGACAGATTGGGTTAGGGAGCTCCAGGTACGTTTATTCATTCTGAATGGTAACCGCAGTGCACCTTGCTGGCAGACAAGTGTTTCAATGCACTGCCAGAAATGGTGCATGCACCTTTTTTTTATGTGTTTCGGAGCATTAGGGCCCATTCACACTACTGTGTTACCGCAATATATGCCAACACTCTCTACATTTGCAGTTGTGCAAAGTGGTGCCATTCAGAATGGCCATGCTGATCAATGTGCGCTGCAGCACAGTGCAATGCAAGGCAATACATTAACATGTGCCAAAAATGGTAGTGCATTAGACAGCCCATGCAAATGAGTAGACTGGTTGTAATGTAATGCTTGTTGACACACATAATAATGCACAATAACATTAACCCTAGGTTAAGGCTAAGACACTGCAGTGGTGTGAATGGGTCCTGAAAGAATTTTCTACGACCTGTACATTCATCAGAATGACTGTTGAACCAACATATAAGAGCACTAATACAAATATCCGTTGGGTTTTACAGTTTTGCGCACCCTAAGGCTAGGTTCATATCTATGCATGTTGGATAGAAATGGAGTCTGTAGGCTGGCCTGAAGACCTTCATGAGAGAGCTGACCCTAGCTGTAGGCTGGATAAAATCTTGGCCTGCAGGCCATAGTTTGGAGATTCCTGCTGTAAAGAAAAACTATTTTTAGAGCAGAGCTCCTGCCAAAATTTTCTTTTTCTCATTTTGAGTAGAGTTGGGCTAGGTTTCGGTATCCTCAGTGGGAGATGCCCCCTCTATCCCTGTGTGGTTACCAGACAGAAAGTAAGAAAATATTTCTGACGAGTATGTAGCGCCCTCCTATGTAGCTCGGGGAAGCTAGAGTTCTAATTGTTAGTCATGGTTGAGTAGCAGCCTGGGTGTAATACTCAGAGAGGTAAAATTTTGGTCAGGAGCTGAGAAGCTCTGCAGATCAGCTCTCTGGGATTTCTCCCCTGCAGTAGAGCTTTGGAGAAAGTTCTAGAAGCAGTGTGAGGTAGTGAGGAAGGCTGGTTTGCACTCTCAAGGGATCCTGGTCAATCTCCAACAAGAGGCTTGGCTTGGGGCTTGGACGGCTCCTAAGAGTGACTGAGCATGCTCAGCATGGGTGGGAGAGGAGGAGGAGAGGAGAGAAGGGAGAGAGTTTAGGTGGAAGATGGAGAAGTGAGGCTGGAGAGCAGGAGCCTGGGAGGGAGCCCAGGTGGAGATGGGCTCACCTCCAGGCAGGGACACTGAAAAGGAGGAAAGCTCAGCACCTCATCAGCCCCCAGAGTGAGGACTACCTGTGCAGCACTTGTGCAGCAGGGAAGGAGTGGCCCAGCTAGTAGGCCTGGAAGCAGCCACCAACTAATCTGTTCACAGACAGAGGACTGAGTGAGTAGACCTACCCCCCTGGGCAAGTAAGGGGGAAAGAGAATTCTAGTGGGGAACTGTATTAGCTTACTAGCCGGGACATTTAAAGTGACAAGCACTGGATCCCCTGTCCAGGGATTCCTTCAGGCAGCCAGATTAGGAGAATCTGGGGTTTGAGGTAGTACTACAGGAGAAGCTGGCTAGCTCTCCAAGAAGAAGGATCTGTTCTTTGCTGTTAAAGAGTCTTGTACATAGTTCAAGAAGATTGTCTTCTTTTGCCATACCCATGGGCATTCCATACACCCCTTACCCCATCCAAGTTAAATTCCCCTATGAAAAAAAAATACAAGCCCAAGTACTGGTTACTGTCTCCTGGATGCAAGTCTGAATGAAAAATGTGTGTTGCCTGGCTGTGCAGGACTATAGGGGGATCCAAAACGTCAGCGACTCCTAAAGGGAGTAGTGCTACAAGTACCTTACAGGGGTTCTAAACCTTCCCCACCCATTATTATTTTAGTTTAAAATGAGACTTTCAACTTCCATGCCCCCCTTGGAACCTTACATAGAAGGCATGAAATACTTTTGCCTGCCCTTGGATCTCAGCACCAAGGCTTTCAGTCACATGACCTCCACTCTATGGAAAGATCAGAGTTCAGATTGGCCAATCCCCCTGGTAGCGCCAACCAATGCCCAGACTTTTATCATGTGATTAAATAAATAATTGAACATTTGCATTACTACTGCAGGAAATGGAGACTGCCTGGGATCTCGGAGGCCGAATCAGCCCTATACATGGATCACTTACAAAGAGGTAAGTCATGACAACCGTATTCTGCGCTCTAAGTGGGCTGTGTTTCCACAAATAGCAGCTGATCTAGGCTCAATGTGTTCCATGTTTTGCAGGTAGTTGAGAGAGCGGAATTTTTGGGCTCAGGCCTATTGCAAAAGGGGTGCAAAGCCTCCCCAGAACAATTTATTGGCGTGTTTTCTCAGAACCGACCAGAGGTAAGTAAACCGACACAGAGGGTTTAAATTGTGGGAGGGGCAAGGACACAAACTACTGGGGGAAAATCTCCCCATTGTGGGAGAGGGATAGACACAAACTATCGTGGGAAACCTCCCCATTGTGGGAGGGGCAGAGACACAAACTACTGGGGGAATTTTCCCCATTGTAGGAGGGGCAGAAACACAAACTACCGTGGAAAAATCTACCTATTGTGGGAGGGGCAGAGGCACAATCTACTGGGATGAAATTTCCACTTTGTGGGAAGGGTAAGAACACAAAATACTGCAGGGGCGGACTGACAACCCATAGGGCCCATGGGCAATAGGGGATCAAGGGGCCCCTGTGTCATCACCCACACCCAAAAAAGTCTATGAAAAAGCCAATGAAAAGTACCAGGGGCATCTCATGGGGCCCCCTACTGACCCCGGGCCCTCGGGCAGTGCCCGAGTGCTCGAATGGTCAGTCTGCCCCTGAACTACTGGGGAAGTTTCCCCATTGTGGGAGGGGCAGAGACACAAACTACTGGGGGAAATCTCCCCATTCTGGGAGGGGCAGATACACAAACTACTGCTGGGAAATCTCCCTATTGTGGGAGGGGCAGATACACAAACTACTGCTGGGAAATCTCCCCAATGTTGGAGGGGCAGAGACAAACTATCGGGGAAAACCTCCCTATTGTGGGAGGGGCAGACATACAAACTACTGGGGGGAAAATAGTAACATTGTGGGAAGGGCAAATACATAAGCTACTACAGGGATATTTTCTTCTCATGGGGGTGCAGAGGTACAAATCTCCCTATTGTGGTATTAATCAGTGTCCTCTTTTCCAACTTCAGGTAGTGATTGCTGAGCTGGCCTGTTATTCCTACTCCATGGCTGTGGTACCTCTCTATGACACGCTGGGACCGGAAGCCATCCTGTTCATTGTTAACAGAGGTGAGTAAGGGACATCACATTATATGGCAGAATTTCTATACATCCAGAGCTACTGGTTTATAGCCCAGGAATAGCCTCTGCTGCCCCAGCAGACTCAGAGCTGTCATTTAAGTGACATTCTATCATATTTTCCCTTTGCTCCACCCCTAACAACCACATAAAAAAACTATGTTTGGGAAGGGGGGGGGGGCAGAGGAGTTGGGCCAGCACAGACAAAAAAATAGACACTCTTAGAATAGGAGAGGGCTGCAAGGAGGAATTATCTGTGCTAGGGCATTAACTGTCTTAAAGAAGTAACATTTTCTAGCAAGTTCAAAGGCACATTACAAGTGAGTAAAGAACAGTTTATGAAAAGGAAAACACTGCAAGTAAGTGGTTAAACTATTCAATTTTTCTGTGGTTTTAGCTACAACTTAGTAGTTTGGTGACTGGGTCTCTTTAACCCAGTGTTTCTCAACTCCAGTCCTCATGGACCCCCAACAGGTCATGTTTTCAGGATTTCCCTCAGATGAAACAGCTGTGGTAATTACTAAGGCAGTGAAACTGATCAAATCACCTGTGCAAAATAATGGAAATCCTGAAAACATGACCTGTTGGGGTTCCATGAGGACTGGAATTGAGAAACACTGCTTTAACCTAACTTCACCCTAACCCATAGCCTTTTACCTCATTGACTTTTGTCCTTAACATCCCACATGGAAGACAAATATATTTGAAATATATTTTTAAAATATTCTGCCCAAATATATTGCCATATATTTGAAATGCTACAATTTTGGCCATATTCATTATATTTCAATAAATAAAGAAATATATACTGGGATGAAATCTCCACTTTGTGGGACGGGTAGAAACACAAACTACTGGGGAAGTCTCCCCATTGTGGGAGGGGCAGAGACACAAACTACTGCTGGGAAATCATGCCAATGTGGAAATCTCCCCCAGTATATATACTGCATGTTTAAATGTGTTTTAATTACAAAATATATGAAAATATTTTTAAAAATACATTTCAAATATACTGTATGTCTTTAAAAATACAAATCTACATTTCTGGAATGAATTTACATATATGTGTAAAAATATATGTTAAAATGACTTAAAAAAAAAAATGTCAAGAATATATATTAAAAAAAAAAAAAATATATATATATATATATATATATATATATATATATGTATATATACCGTATATGTATATATTTAGGAATAATATTTTTAAAATATATTTCAAATATATTTTTCTTCCATATGGTATGTCACTTAAAAATAACCCCTCTCATTTCATTCTGACTTTTCTGACTTGTTTCAGAGATTAGTGACTTACATTACGGAAGCCAGCAGGTTATAACCCTCTCTTACTCTTTCCAAAATAAAAAAAAAAAGTTTGCCTCTAGTTCTACTTAAAAAAAAAAAGTTTAGTTTTTATTCTGGTTTAACAATTTCCCCATGGTTAGATATTGGAATGAGTCCTTTATTTCTGTGTTTATACAGCGGAACTCTCAGTGGTGGTCTGTGACAAGCTGGACAAGGCCCAGATCCTTCTGAACAATAGTGAGAAGGGACTGACCCCTGTGCTGAAAATCATCATCCTGATGGAGGAGTTTGGAGACGACGTGAAGGAGAAGGCCGCCAAGTGTGGAGTAGAGGTTCTCTTTATGAAAGATGTGGAGGTAATTCCACAAAACTGTTTCACCAAATATAATAGAGCAAAATGTGTACAGAACATGAGTCTGCCTTATGAGTTGTGGCTACTTAGAAATGCATGACAATGGTGGCCATACTACATGTTTTGGCCAAGCTACTATCTAGGGCCTAATATACAATGTAGACTCACCGGCCACTTTATTAGGTACACCTGTTCAATTGCTTGGTAACACAAATTGCTAATCAGCCAATCACATGGCAGTAGCTCAATGCATTTAGGCATCTAGATTTGGTGAAGATGACTTGCTGAAGTTCGAACCGAACATCAGAATGGGGAAGAAAGGGGATTTAAGTGCATTTTAACGTGGCATGGTTGTTGGTGCCAGGCAGGCTGGTCTGAGTATTTAAAAAACTGCTGATCTACTGGGATTTTCATGCACAACCCCCTCTAGGGTTTACAGAGAATGGTCCGAAAAAGAGAAAATAGGCAGTGAGCGGCAGTTGTGTGGACGAAAATGCCTTGTTTATGTCAGAGGTCAGAGGAGAATGGGCAGACTGGTTTGAGATGATAGAAAAGCAACAGTAACTCATGTCAATATGGAGCAAAATCTCTGAGGAATGTTTTCCAACACCTTGTTGAATCTATGCCATGAAGAATTAAGGCAGTTCTGATGGCAAAAGAGGGTCCAACCTGGTACTAGCAAGGGTGGACCTAATAAAGTGGGTGGGGAGTGTATATATAATACAATATTGCTGTTTGATGTTGCTTTGTTTATAAACAAAGCCATAAGATATAGAAATAGGGCAGGATCACGCCAGAATGCCACATGGTGCAGTTTTGACAGCAGATTCATTTGAATGGGCTGCAAAAAGTACTGGAACACGGAAAAAGTAGTGCAAGTACCACTTTTTGAGAATGTGCCACACACAAATGACTGCAGTACCATGCGATTTGGAGGCTGCAAAAGAGATGAGTTTTTGGGGTACCATTAAGAATTCATTGGCACCAGCATTCTTCTCACAAGAGCAACACGCTCACCTGCAGTGTGGGAAATGCACATGGACTGTACCTTCCCAACACCACTTTTTGGTGTGAACAGCCCTAAAACATTGGTGTTTTGTGGCTTTGTTTATAAACAAAACCACCTTAGCCTCTGGCTTTGTTGGCTGATATGGGAATAAATTGCTTTTCTAATAGACAGAGATACGTCAATCGCATAGTATTGTTTATCAACAAAGCTGTTTCTCGCTAGGTGAACGAGTGAAGTACCACAGCCATGGAAGTAGTAAAACAAAAAAGTTTAATAAAACAGTAAGAAAAAAAAAAAAATAAAGGAGCTAAATAACCCGTTTAAGCCATTTAAAGCATTCACCCCTTATAACCATTTTAATTTGTCTTCTCCATGGATTCCGAAGTACAGTATTTTGATGAAATATATGAAAAGAGGGCTAAAAAAGCATTATCTTGCCCAAAGCTACCAATCAGAATGCTTATATCATTTTTAGCCAAGCTGAATTGACAGCTAGAAGCTGGTTGGCTGCAGAACCTGGCCACATGAGAGGTCATTACTTCATCATTACACAATTGCAACTCTTCCTGAATATCACTAGTTATTGTTGAATCGTTTGATTTTACTTGTTGCCTGGAGCTTCTCCTTTATATTATTAATGTCTAATATTTTGTTTTGTTCTAGTACCTGGGAAAAGAGAACTTCAAGAAAGTTGTGGTACGTTTCAGAAAGCATAACCCCTTGTGAGCTATTCAGAATGGGTTTAACAGACCGAGGTCCTATTCTTTCCCTTCTCTGTCCAAACTAATAAAAAAAGTGGGGCCTAAATGCTTTATATCTGTCAACTCTTACAGTTACAGTAACCAGTTGTGAACACTGGGTGTACTACAGATACCCAAAACAATGTAACTGAAGTACACAGGGCGCATATACAATGGTGCTGATGTATGCACTATGCCCTGTCCTTTAGCCCCATTGCTTTATGCATTACATCTTGCATTCTGCCCCACTGCTGTATGTAATATGCCCTTTCTTTTTTTGCCCCACCGCAATATGTGCTTTACCCTGTGATTCTCCTCTCTGCTCCTTCCCCTTTGTACTCGTGGCCAATTCCCGACTGTAAAAATTACAATAAAATGTAATTGAAGTACACAGGGCGCATTTACAATGGTGCAGCTGTATGTACTATGCCCTGTCCTTCTGTCATGCTGCTGTATGTACTATGCCCTGTCCTTCTGCCATGCAGCTGTATGTAATATGCCCTGTCCTTCTACCATACTGCTGTATGTACTATGCCCTGTCCTTCTACCATACTGCTGTATGTACTATGCCCTGTCCTTCTACCATGCTGCTGTATGTACTATGCCCTGTTCTTCTGCAGTGCTGCTGTATGTACTATGCCCTGTCCTTCTGCCATGCTGCTGTATGTACTATGCCCTGTCCTTCTACCATGCTGCTGTATGTACTATGCCCTGTCCTTCTGCCATGCTGCTGTATGTACTATCCCCTCTCCTTCTACCATACTGCTGTATGTATTATGCCCTGTCCTTCTGCCATGCTGCTGTATGTACTATGCCCTGTCCTTCTGCCATGCTGCTGTATGTACTATGCCCTGCCCTTCTGTCATGCTGCTGTTTGTACTATGCCCTGTCCTTCTGCCATGCTGCTGTATGTATTATGCCCTGTCCTTCTGCCATGCTGCTGTATGTACTATGCCCTGTCCTTCTGCCATGCTGCTGTATGTATTATGCCCTGTCCTTCGGCCATGCTGCTGTATGTACTATGCCCTGTCCTTCTGCCATGCTGCTGTATGTACTATGCCCTGTCCTTCTGCCATGCTGCTGTATGTACTATGCCCTGTCCTTCTACCATGCTGCTGTATGTATTATGCCCTGTCCTTCTACCATGCTGCTGTATGTACTATCCCCTGTCCTTCTGCCATACTGCTGTATGTACTATCCCCTGTCCTTCTGCCATACTGCTGTATGTACTATACCCTGTCCTTCTGCCATGCTGCTGTATGTACTATACCCTGTCCTTCTGCCATGCTGCTGTATGTACTATGCCCTGTCCTTCTACCATGCTGATGTATGTACTATGCCCTGTCCTTCTACCATGCTGCTGTATGTACTAGGCCCTGTCCTTCTGCCATGCTGCTGTATGTACTATGCCCTGTCCTTTGTCCCACTGCCGTATCTACCATGCCCTGCCTTCCGCCCTACTGCCATATGTACTACGTCTTGCCTTCTGCCCCTCTACTGTATGTACTATGCCCTGTCCTTTTTGCCCGGCTGCCATATGTACTTTACCCTGTGATTCGCCCCTCTGCAGCCCCCCCTTTGTACTTTCTGTCAAATCCTGACTGTCAGAATTACAGCCAGGAGTTGATGTGTAAAGCTGTAGAGCAGGGAGTCTCCAAAGTTTTTAAACAAAGGGTATGCTTACTGGCTTTTAGACTCTAGGGGGGCTGGGCTATGGCCAGTGGGAGTAGAAATTGACATGGCGAATAGTGAGAGTATACAATGCCCTATCTTTGGTGTCAGTGGGAGGAATAGTGTCCCCATCATTGGTATCAGTGGGAGGAATAGTGCCCCATCACTGGTATTGAGGGAAGGAATAGTGCCCCATCATTGGTATCGAGGGAAGGAATAGAGCCCCATCCTTGGTGTCATTGGAAGGAATAGCACCCCATCGTTGGTATCAATGTAAGGAACTATGCCTCATCATTGGTGTCAGTAGAAGGAATTGTGCCCTTTTGTTGGTGTCAGTGAGAGGAATAGTGCTCTATTGCTGGTGTCAGCGAAAGGACTAGTGTGCCCCATCATTGGTGTCAGTGGGAGGAATTATGCCCTTTCGTAGGTGTCTGTGGAGGAATAGTGACCCATTATTGGTGTCAGTGACAGGAATTCTGCCCCATTGTTGGTGTCAGTGGAATATTTAATAGTGTCCAAGGGCCAGATAAAGAGAGGCAAAGGGCCCACATCTGGCCCCGGGCCGCAGTTTGGAGACCACTGCTGCAGAGGCTGCATTTAAAAAAATGGACCATCTGATACATTGTTTATAAGCACTGTTCAGATAGGAGATAGAGGGATACAAAGTAACATTACCACTTTTACTCCACTCCACTCTGTTTCATTCATCTATAGCTCAAAAGCTTCTTTCACACTAGCGGTATCATCTACCACCTCCCTGAAAAGTGATTTGTGGTGGATTGCTTTTCAGAGGACAGTGAAAGTTATTTAGAAGGTGTTCAGGCGTTCAGAAGGCGATACTGTGATACCGCCACCTCCTGGAGCCTGTTTTTTTTTTAAATTTAATGCTGATCTGCAATTAGTAGGACTGCGCTGCAGCTGTGAGCCAAGCATTTGGCTCACGGTTGTGGCGCTACCCAATTCACTTACATAAGATAGTTTGACTGGCGGTGCCGCCATGTGAAAGGAGCCTTACAAGTTTTTTTTTGCTGTTTTACTAAAAAACTCAGTAGGCCTTCAGATAAACAATGTATGTCACATAAATAGTATCTTGTAAATTTGTATTTCTTCCTGTTGTCTTTTCTTGATACAGCCACCAAAGCCAGATGACCTGTCTGTGATTTGCTTTACAAGCGGGACCACAGGTATTGTCCAATGTGCCAAACAACAAAGGTAACTAAAAAAAACAAGCATATAGATGATATTTTACTTTCAAATACATTTTAAAAAAACTAAAAGTCAAAACAATACAAATTGTATCCCTTATATTACAGTAAATGGTAGAGAAAGAAGAATTCCACAACTATACTGAAAATCCCCTTTTGTTTTATGGGTCTGGTAAGTACAGTTGCAAGAAAAAGTATGTGAACCCCTTGGGATTACATGGAGTTTTGCATGAATTGGGCATAAAATGTGCTTCTGAACGTCATCTAAGTCACAACAATAGAAGAACACAGTCTGACTGAACATAATGGCCTACACAAACATTAGATGTTGCCATGGTTTAATTGCACATAACATGTAAACAATTCACAGTGCAGGGAGGAAACAGTATGTGTGAATTTTGGACTTAATAACTGTTTGACCCTCCTTTGGCAGCAATAAACCTCAACCAATACGTTTTGCTGTAGTTGCAGATCAGACCTGTGCACAACGATCTGGAGTCATTTTGGACCACTTCCTCTTCACAAAACTGTTTCAGTGCCAGGCACTATTCTTGAGGATGGTCTGCTGTGGAATCGCAACACTTAAGGTCATGCCACAGCAAATTTCAATCGGCGATTAGGTCAGGACTCTGACTGGGCCACTCCAGAAGGCGTATTCTGTGCTGTTGCAGCATTGTTTTGTTGAGATTACTTACTGTATGCTTTTGGGTCATTGTCCTGTTGCATCACCCATCCTGCCAGCGGAGCTTCAGTTGCAGACAGATGGGCGAACGTTTTCCTGCAAATGTCTTGATAAACTCTGGGAATTCATTTTCCCATCAATGACAAACTATCCGTCCAGGCCCTGAGGCAGCAAAGCAAGCCCCAAACCATGATGCAACATCCGCCATGTTTTACAGTGGGGATGAGGTTTTGATGTTGCGGTGTGTGCTGTGCCTTTTTTTCTCCAACACATAAGTGTTGTGTGTTCTTCCCAAACAACTCAATCTTGGTTTTCATCTGTCCACAGTATATTTGCCAGTAGTGCTGTGGGGAACATGCCAGGTGCTCTTTTGCAAACTTCAAACGAGCTGCAATTATTCTTTTTGGACAGCAAATGGCTTCCTCCGTGGTCGTCCTCCATGTACTGGACCCATATTCTTTGTTTAATGTTTTCCTTATTGTAGATGTTTCAACAAATATGTTATAGCTATGTGCCAGAGATTTCTGTATTGTCGTTAGCTGACACTCTGGGATTCTTCTTTTACCTCATGCAGCATTCTGCGCTTTGCTCTTGCAGTCATTTTTACAGGACGACCACGCCTAGGGAGAGTAAGCAACAGTGCTAAACTTTCTCCATTTGTAGACAGTCTTCTTACCGTGGACACATGAACATCAAGGCTTTTGGAGATACTTTTGTAACCCTTTCCAGCTTCATGCAAGTCAACAATTCACTGATTGTAGGTCTTCTGAGAGCTCTTTTCTGCGAGGTATGGTTCAAATCAGACAGTGCTTCTTGAAACCAGTAAACCCAAAACAGAGTGTGTGTTTTTTTAAAGGCAGGACAGCTGTCAGCAACACTATCCAATATCATCACACTTGATTGGAGTCAAGGTTGGCTCACTTCCTGGCTCCAATTAGCTCTAGGAGAAGTCATTAAGCTAAGGGCCTCACTACTTTTTCCTCCCTGCACTGTGAAATGTTTACATGTTATGTGCAATTAAAAACCATGGCAAACATCTAATGTTTTGTGTAGTATTATGTTCAGCAGACTGTGTTCTTCTACTGTTGTGACTTAGATAACATTCAGATGACATTTTTTATGCCCAATTCCATGCAAAACTCCACAAAATCCCAAGGGATTTCACATACTTTTTCTTGCAACTGTAACGTGTTAGCACTTGACCACCGAGAATGGGAAATTAGTTCTATTCAGTATTGAATTAAAAGTTAAATTAATTAAGTCTGTAAAGTAAGGTGTATACGGAAATTATTCTGGTCTACCTCACTAATCTTGATAGACAAATTGTTCAACAGACAATGAACACCTGGGTATGTGGTTAGAAGCACCTAGGACGTTGCTTGGAAATTCTCTCAAAACATTCATTGGTCAGGAGCATCAAACACAACCAATGCATTCCAGGTGAAAGGACTTTCCCCTTCTCCAGGGCTTGGACAACAGTTTGTGATAGAACCAATTTTTGAAGGAATTGGTTAGGAGCATCAGATGCAACAGATGCTTTTTGGTGAAATTACTTTCCCTTCATAAGTGCTCTTGGTCAAGGGTTTGCGATTGAATCAAGTTTTGAATTGGATAGAAGCATCAGAATGCAGCCAATGTTTTTGGGTAAAAGGACTCCTTCTTCTTCAGAGCTTGTAGAATAGATATTTATAAAAGAGTAACAGATCTTTTTGGGTGATAATACTTCATCCTCTTAACTAGTTAAAAAGTTCATGCAGCCTTGCTTGAAAATTCTCTTTAAAACATTAATTGGTTAGGAACATCAGAGACAACATATGTGTTTCAGGTGAAAGGACTCCCCTTTCTTCTGGGATTGGACAATGGTTTTGATGATAGAACCAAGAAGGAATTGGTTAGGAGCATCAGCTACAACAAATGCTTTGTGGGGGGATATCACTTCCCCCTCTTTAGGGCTTGGACAAGGCTTTGTGATTGAATCAAGTTTCCACTGGGATAGGAGCATCTGGCAACAGCCAATGTGTTTTGAGTGAAAGGACTCCTTTTTCAGAGCTTGGACAATGGTTTGTAGAAGAGCACCTAGTACAAAAGTCCATCTTGCTTGGGAATTCTCTTAGAACATTCATTGGTTAGGAACATCAGATACAACCTATGTGTTTTTCAGGTGAAAGGACTCCCCCTTCTTCAGGGCTTTGCACAACGGTTTGTGATACAACCAGAAGGAATTGTTAGGTGCCAATGACTTCCCCTTTTGTTAAAAACCTCAACAAGGGTTTGTGATTGAATCAAAATTGAATTGGATAGGAAGCAATCAGATACAGCCCAATGTGTTTTGGGTGAAAGGACTCCTTTGTCAGAGTTGGACAATGGTTTGTAAAAGAAATCAAGATGGAACTGATTTGGACTAACTGATACACCTAATGCTTTTCAGAAAAAAAAGGCTTCTCCTTCTTCATGGCTTAGACAATGGTTTGTGATAGAACCAAGAAGGAATTGGTTATTGAGCATCAGGTACAACAAACACTTTGCAGAGGAAATGACTTCCCCTCTTAAGGGCTTGGACAATGGTTTTGTGATTGAATCAAAATTTTCACTGAATAGAAGCATCTGTAACAGCCAATGTGTTTTTGGGTGAAAGGACTCCTTCTTTTTCAGAGCTTGGACAATGGTTTGTAAAAGAGCACCTAGTACAAAAGTCCATCTTGCTTGGAAATTCTCTTAGAACATTCATTGGTTAGGAACATCAGATACAACCTATGTGTTTTTCAGGTGAAAGGACTCCACCTTCTTCAGGGCTTGCACAACGGTTTGTGATACAACCAGGAAGGAATTGGTTAGGTGCCAATGACTTTCCCTTTGTTTAAAACCTCAACAAGGGGTTGTGATTGAGTCAAAATTGAATTGGAATGGAGCATCAGATACAGCCAATGTGTTTTGGGTGAAAGGACTCCTTTGTCAGAGTTGGGACAATGGTTTGTAAAAGAATCAAGATGGAACTGATTTGGACTATCTGATACACCCAATGCTTTTCAGAAAAAAAGGCTTCCTTCTTCTTCATGGCTTAGACAATGGTTTTGTAACAGAATCAATCAACCTAGAAAGCTTGAAGTGTTAAGACTGGGTAAGGGCTAGCTTAATCCTAAAGGCAACGTGGACACATCGCAGGTAAAGGAAAGGATAAGTTCAACCTTTGGGAACATGTTACATGGTTCCATCTGTTTTTAGGGTGGAACATGTAACATGTTACCACAGCCGCCGACCCCTCCCTCTGACAGATAGTAGGGGGTGAAGTCCTCCCCTCACTATCTGTCAAATATGAAAACAGCGCGCCGTGTGGGGCTCCATCTACAAGGTGGCATCATTCATTCATGGACTCCATGAATGAATGAACTGCAAGTCCCGATAGCCTTAGCGGCTGTCAACTCCACAGCACCATGGTAGCTCATCGAAGCTTCCTGTCAGAATATCTGCTTGCTCGTACATCCCGTACATCCCAATACATCCCGTTACGGCAAGCGTCTGCAGAAGACCTTCATGGCATCAGTTATCTACTGATTGCTGGTGCAATGCTCTCCAGGCTCCTGTATACAAAAATAATAAATGCATATTTTTTTACCTGCAAAAAAATGTGCATTTATTATTTTTGTCCAAAAGGTGAAATTATGCTTTAAAACACGCTAGTGCTAATCCAGCATTAACTCATGTTTCTAGTGTAACCCATCTTGAGTCTATTGCAAACCATTGTCCAAGCCCTGAAGGAGGAGGAGCCCTTCCCTTTCCCTTGAAACGCATTTCCTGTATCTGATGCTCTTAAAGCTGAACTTCAGTGAAGGTAAAAATACTCCCCTGCAATAGGACTGCCCCCTCCCCTCCCTCTTACTGCAAGAGGACCACAGAAGTTTTTACTTATCCGATCCTCCCCTCCTGAAGGCTGCTTCATGTGTAAGCCTGGTCTTTGCAGACTCTCCTCCCCTATACCTTGGCGGTCACAGGTCCTCTGACGTCATCAAGACCAATTCAGAGCCCATAGTCCTGCACTGGACATGAGAATACTGAGGGACAGTCTACTACTAGAGCATGGGGGAGTGGAAGAGAGGGCCAGCTGTCAGAGGAATGACTAAGTAAAAGTCCTTTTTTGCTGACTCTTGACCTTGCAGTGCCAGGGCAGCCCCTATACAAGGGAGCATTTTTGTTGTCATCTGGATGGCTTGGCTTTAACCAATAAAAGTTTTGAAAGTATTTCCATAATGAGATGAATGTTTGTACTACCTGCTTCCGAACACACACCCAGAAGTTTGATTTTAAGTTGCAAAAGTTAAAGCAAATAGCCAACACGTTTCATAGGCTTCGCAGGTCTCCTTCAGCAGGGTTTTACAATCTAAAAAACCAAGAAAACTGGACAAAGCAGCTATTCTTGCAGGAAATGGTGCAATGCCTCATTCAGTTTGCTGATTTGGCAGCTGTTAGTTTGTAAAGAATATGTAAATATTGGAAAATCTATAGCCTGGCCACAGGTTCACTTTAAAAAAGTTGTCATCAGCAGTTTCCATAGTACTCGCTCAAAAGGTCCCCTCTGAGTCATTGATTCAGTTGTTGCTGCCAATTTTTTATACATTTTTGGGCACTGCTATTTACTCTTATTGCACTTTATCAATTCTTTTTTTCCATTAGGTGACCCAAAAGGTGCCATGCTGACCCACAGAAATGTTGTATCTGATGCTGCCAGTTTTATTAAAAATGTAGAGGTAAGTCTTCATCCCCCTCGAGATTCAGCAGATTCTTAGCTCACAGTTTTTAAAACAAAAAACAAGAAAATGTATTTCTTTAAATCCTGCAGATTTATCTGTCTCTTCTTGTGAAGTGTTAAAGTGGTTGTAAACCCTAACATATACCTAGTGAAGTGACTGGCCTAAGGGTGATAAACGGAGATTAAACAAATCCTCCTACATTGTATCTGTTTATCTGTAGCCTTCTCTTCTCTACATCAGTTCAAAGTACAGAATTTACACAGCTTGACAGTTTTCAGAAAGTGGGGTGGGGAGCTGAAGTTACACTCTGCAGACCTCAGTGAGAGCTGACTGGAGGAAAGGGACCCCCCCTCACCTTCACACAGCACACAGGAACCGAGAGGAGGCTGTCAATCACAGGCTGTGTGCTAGAGCTCTCTCCCCATCACCTTTTTATCACTTGTGTGTAAGATAACTTGTCAGAAGTGACTTATGCAGAGAGCAGAGGAAGGAGGTAGCAGACAGAAGTGACACTTAGTGCTCTGGACTGAGACAAGTACATACTATAGATGGATATACTTTGTTTATATATTAGAAGTTTACAAACACTTTAAACTGGGTATACATGGAGACTTTCTTTCACTCAACCAGCAGATTGAATGAGAAAAAACCCACAGATCTCCGCTTCCACACAAGCGGTGTGCATGTGGGAATCTCTCCTGCTGCACTATGAAGCCCCACCTTCCCGTCAGAAAACCCTGATTAGTGCTGCAGCAATTGCTGCAGCGGCTGACCGAATACTGGTTTAATATAATCGTATAATAATTATAAATATTATATATATATATGTACACTATATTGCCAAAAGAATTGGGCCAGCCCTCCCAAATCATTGGATTCAGGTGTTCCAATCACTTCCGTGGCCACAGGTAAAAAATCATCCCCTAGGCATGCAGACTGCTTCTACAAACATTTGTGAAAGAATGGGTCGCTCTCAGGAGCTCAGTGACTCCAAGCGTGGTCCCGTGATAGGTTGCCACCTGTGCAATAAGTCCATCCGTGACATTTCCTGGCTACTAAATATTCCACACTCAACTGTTAGTGGTATTATAACAAAGTGGAAGCAACTGGGAACAGCAGCAACTCAGCCATGAAGTGGTAGGCCACGTAACATGACAGAGCGGGGTCAGCGCATGCTGAAGCGCACAGAAGTCACCAACTGTCTGCAGAGTCAATAGCTAAAGACCTCCAAACTTTGTGTAGCTTTCAGATTAGCACAACAGTGCATAGAGAGCTTCATGGAATGGGTTTCCATGGCTGAGCAGCTGCATCCAAGCCTGACATCACCAAGTGCAATGCAAAGCGTCAGATGCAGTGGTGTAAAGCACGCTGCCACTGGACTCTAGAGCAGTGGAGACGTGTTCTCTGGAGTGACCAATCACGCTTCTCTGCCTGGGAATCCAATGGCTGTGTCTGGGTTTGGCGGTTGCCAGGAGAACAGTACTTGCCTGACTGCATTGTGCCAAGTGTAATGTTTGGTGGAGGGGGAATTATGTGTGTGGGGTTGTTTTCAGGGGTTGGACTTGGCCCCCTATTTTCAGTGAAGGGAACTCTTAAGGCGTCAGCATACCAAGACATTTTGGACAATTTTATGCTCCCAACTTTGTGGGAAGAGTTTGGGGATGGCTCCTTCCTGTTCCAACATGACTGCACACCAGTGCACAAAGCAAGGTCCATAAAGACATGGATGAGTGAGTTTGTGGGGGGAGGAACTTGACTGGCCTGCACAGAGTCCTGACCCCAAACAACACCTTTGGCATGAATTGGAGTGGAGACTGCAAGCCAGGCCTTCTCGTTCGACATCAGTGCCTGACCTCACAAATGCACTTCTGGAAGAATGGTCAAACCTTCCCATAGACACCCTCCTAAACCTTGTGGATGGCCTTCCTAGAAGAGTTGAAGCTGTTATAGCTGCAAAGGGCGGGGCCAACTCAATATTGAACCCTACGGACTAAGACTGGGGGGGCATTAAAGTTCACGTGAGTGGAAAGGCAGCTGTCCCAATACTTTTGGCAATATAGTGTATAAATATATATATATATACAGCATATTACATTTTTGTCTACAGTTATATATATTTGCTGATCACAGTGCAGGACAGACAAGGGTCAATGGCTGGATGTGTTATGCAATATTGAACTGTAAGCTAGTGGAGCGTGTTTGGCTTTTTGCACAATGTTCTCTGACTTGTCTCCTCTATTACTGTACAGAGCACCTTTGCTCCAATGACCTCCGATGTTGAAATCTCTTATTTGCCCATGGCGCACATGTTTGAGAGGGTGGTTCAGGTAAGGACTCTGCTTTCTGCTCTAGTCTTTTATCACTACAGTCACTGTGTAATATTGTATAACTGTGTTCCTTCTCTGCTTCTGTGTTTCGCAACATGTAACTAGAAGGTAAAGCACCAGGGGCATTCAAGCCACACCAGGACTTTTGAGTTTATATAATAAAATAACAAATTTCAAGGAGTGGAAACTACATTTATTTTTCGACCTACTCCCCTGCTACATTTATACACTTACACTAACTAATGCCTGGAAAGCTTCAGCATAGACATATTTGCTACTATGCCTTAACCATCCTAGGACATTTGTGAATGATTGTGTTCTGGATTCCCACAGAAATATTAGTCTCTTGTGTAATCTCACGACAGGTTATGCTTTGGTTATCCTATAGAGCAGTGGTTCTCAACCTTTCTAGCGCCGCGACCCCTTAATACAGTTCCTCATATGTTGTGGTGACCCCCAACCATAAAATTATTTTCGTTGCTACTTCATAACTGTAATTTTGCAGTAGGAGGAATAGTGCCCCATCATTGGTGTCATTGGGAGGAATAGTGCCCCATCATTGGTATCAGTGGGAAGAATAGTGCCCCGTCATTGGTGTCAGTGGGAGGAATAGTGCCCCATCATTGGTGTCAGTGGGAGGAATAGTGCCCCGTCATCGGTGTCAGTGGGAGGAATAGTGCCCCATCATTGGTGTCAGTGTGAGGAATAGTGCCCCGTCATCGGTATCAGTGGGAGGAATAGTGCTCCATCATCATTGTCAGTGGGAGGAATAGTGCCCCATCATCGGTGTCAGTGGGAGGAATAGTGCCCCATCATCGGTGTCAGTGGGAGGAATAGTGCCCCATCATTGGTGTCAGTGGGAGGAATAGTGCCTCATCATTGGTATCAGTGGGAGGAATAGTGTCCCATCATAGGTGTCAGTGGGAGGAGGAATAGTGCCCCATCATAGGTGTCAGTGGGAGGAGGAATAGTGCCCCATCATAGGTGTCAGTGGGAGGAGGAATAGTGCCCCATCATTGGTGTCAGTGGGGGGAGGAATAGTGCCCCATCATTGGTGTCAGTGGGGGGAATAGTGCCCCATCATAGATGTCAGTGGGAGGAATAGTGCCTCATCATTGGTATCAGTGGGAGGAATAGTGCCCCATCATTGCTGTCAGTGGGAGGAATAGTGCCCCATCATTGGTGTCAGTGGGAGGAGGAATAGTGCCCCATCATTGGTGTCAGTGGTGGGAGGAATAGTGCCCCATCATAGGTGTCAGTGGGGGGAATAGTGCCCCATCATTGGTGTCAGTGGGGGGAATAGTGCCCCATCATAGGTGTCAGTGGGGGGAGGAATAGTGCCCCATCCTTGGTGTCAGTGGGGGGAGGAATAGTGCCCCATCCTTGGTGTCAGTGGGGGAGGAATAGTGCCCCATCCTTGGTGTCAGTGGGGGGAGGAATAGTGCCCCATCCTTGGTGTCAGTGGGGGGAGGAATTGTGCCCATCGTTGGTGTCAGTGGGGGGAGGAATCGTGCCCCATCCTTGGTGTCAGTGGGGGAGGAATAGTGCCCCATCGTTGGTGTCATTTGGGGGAGGAATCGTGCCTCATCGTTGGTGTCAGTGGGGGGAGGAATAGTGCCCCATCGTTGGTGTCAGTGGGAGGAATAGTGCCCCATCATTGGTGTCAGTGGGAGGAATAGTGTCCCATCGTTGGTGTCAGTGGGAGGAATAGTGCCCCATCATTGGTATTTAGTGACACCAATGATGGGGCACTATTCCCACTGACACCAATGATACTTACCTTGCAGACCCCTGCTCCAGCCTGGGCTCGCTCGCTCCCTCTCCCATGGTACTGACACTTACCTGTCAGATGTCTTCCTTCTCCGGCCGCTCTCCTCCTCTTCACTCGCTCGATCTTCGCGGTGCCGCTCGGCTCCTCCTCTCCAAGCTCCACCTCCTTGCCGGTGATTGGCCGCCTGTGTGCCTCTCCTGAGCTACAGTGCCGGCGGCCAATCACAGGCGAGGATTGATCTCGAGGTGTGTCCAGATGACAGGGGCGGCATGTCATCCCGCCCACACCTGGAGACGGCGGTGGCGGCGGCGGCGGCGAGGAGCGGTGTCTCGGTTCCTAAGACCATCGGAAGTATGTGTTTTCCGATGGTCTTAGGCGACCCCTGTGGAAGCGTCGTTCGACCCCCAAAGGGGTCGCGACCCCCAGGTTGAGAACCGCTGCTATAGAGGAAGTTACAGCTTACATTTTATGGGATTTTCAAGGCAACCTTGGAGTATATACAAAGAAATCAATTATTGAAAAGATCAACATTTTATTTGAACACATTTCTTTTATCTGACAAATGAATACATATTGGGTAAGCAGTACATATTAGCCAATAAAAACATAGTTTTTGACAAGTCATTCACTTCACAAAATTGTGGTTATTGCAATATGTATCCAGTGGTATCCCCCAAAGCTGATTTCCATCTTGCAACCTCAAAGTTTGACTGCAGATATATTCAGCCTGGGATCCAACAATCAATTATGCATATCTTTATAATTAACCACTTCCCAACCACCCTATAGCCGAAAGATGGCTACAGTGCGGTTGCCTAGTTCTGGGGGGACGTCTAGTTGTCTAGTTCTATGGACGTTCTCCCAGAACACGCTCCCTGCATGCCCCCAGCAGTGCACACCAAGCACCGCTGGTGATCGCTGTGTCCTAAGGACACAGCTTATCACACAGTACGGTAAAAGGCCAATCACAGTGGCCTTTTACCACGTGATCAGCTGTGTCAGTGACACAGCAGATCATCAGGTAAATACAGTTGCCGGTTATCAGCTGTACTTTCTTCACGCTGTCACAGCATGAGGAAAGTACTGCCGAGAACCGGCAATTGTCAGCGAAGGGATCATCAGGGCACTGATGATCAGTGCTCAGCAGTGCCGGCCATCTGTGCCCATCAGTGCCTCCCACCTGTGCTCATCAGTGCCGCCGACCTGTGCTCATCAATGCCATGCCCCACCTGTGCCCTGCAGTGCCACCCACATGTGCCAAGCAGTGCCGCTCACCTGTGCCCAGCAGTGCCTAGCAGTGCCACCCACTTGTGCCCATCAGTGCCACCTATCAGTGCAGCCCAGTAGTGCCACCCATCAGTGCCCAACAATGCCACCAGGCAGTGCCCAGCAGTGCCGTCAGTCAGTGCCACCCATCCGTGCCCATCAATGCTGCCCATCAGTGCCGCCTATCTGTGCCCATCAGTGCCACCTATCAGTGCAGCATCATCAGTGCCAGCTCATCAGTGCCCCCTATCAATGCCACCTATCAGTGCCTCCTATCAGTTCCCATCAGTGCTGCCTATCCGTGTCCATCAGTGCAGCCTCATCAACGCACATAAGTGAAGGAGAAAAATGACTTGTTTGCAACATTTTGTAATAGAAACAGAAAAAAAACTTTTTTTTTTTTTCAAATTTTTGCTCTTTTTGTTTATAGCGCAAAAAATAAAACACCCAGTGGTGATTAAATACCACCAAAAGAAAGTTCTCTGTGTATGAAAAAAATTTCATATGGGTACAATTTTGCATGAACGCACAATTGTCGCTCAAAGTGCGATAGCGCTGAAAGATGAAAATTGGCCTGGGCTGGAAGGGGGTATAAGTGCCTGATAGGCAAGTGATTAAGTAATGGTATGACTAACATAGCTACCAAAAATATATAGCATTACATATATACAGTATATATATATTATATATATATATATATATTGTTATGACTGTGTTTGTGATGTGGCACACGTGTTCCTTGCACGTCAAAAGATGACCTCCGTTATGGGGGAAACTTGCCTTCTAAACACAGTGAAGAATCTTTTGACTATTTTTGATGGCTATGTAAGTCATGTATCCTCTATGGTTAGTTTACCATTACTTAATTATAAAGATATGCACTGATAATTGTTGACAATAATTATTGTTATAGAATGGTATCCTTTTCCTGAGGAATAATCTGTACTAATGTATTCAAAACATATTGGATCCCAGGCTGAATACATCTGCAGTTAAACTTTGAGGTTGTAAGATGGAAATCAGTTTTTGGGGGATACCACTGGATACATATTGCAATAACCGCAATTTTGTGAAGTGAATGACTTGTCAAAAACTGTTTGTATTTTATATTGGCTAATATGTACTGCTTACCTGATATGTATTCATTTGTCAGATAAAAGAAATTTGTTCAAATAAAATGTTGATCTTTTAAATAATTGTTTCTTTGTATACTCCAAGTTTGCCCTAAAAATCCCATAAAATGTAAGGTGTAACTTTCTCTATATGGACATAGGGATGATGATGAAAACCACACCCTAAGCTACACTGAATGAGTTTTCTATCATGCGTCGATTATCCAGGATCACAGGAATGACTGCTGTGGGTTGGGAACCTCCACGACTGGGATCATCATTCATCACTGATGGTCGTAGTCCATCTTTGAAATGTTTACACCATTCAAATGTCTTACTGCGGCTTAGTGTCTCATCACTGTACTGTGCTTGAAGTTGTCTGCAGATATCCGCGGGTTTTATGCCTTCATTCACAAGAAAACTTCATCACCATACGCTGTTCCATGCACGCACCAACACTGTTGTCTGCCATCTTGATTAACAGTCTCTGGACGTGTGCGCCGCCTATCCATAATAGGACACACTTGCCACTTACTACTGCATGTAGTACCGCCACACTAGCATCCCTTTTTATACCTGTAAAATTAAAGAGTCCCGGTTTGATTTGAACGCCCCTCATATATGTAAACCCTCACCTTGTAAAACAACCCATTCAGTTTAAAATAGAAATGAGACCCACAGGCAGGTATTTGCTTCTGCAAGGCACCCTCTGGGACCAGGAGGTTACCTTTGTCTCTTACTACGCGCCTAACCATTTCCAGCATAAATTCTTTTCGCATCTTTGCACCATTGTTTCCCGACACTCTAAGGGTCATCTTCTTGTTATGGGGGATTCGAATGTTACCTTGGATTCCACATTGGATAGGCGCTATGCACGGGGAGCGACCCCCTCTCATGACTTGGTGCTGGAAGAACGTATGCGCTCTCTTTTGCGGATGGCGGGGCTAGCGGACATCTGGAGGGAACTTCATCCAACTGAACGCGACTTTACGTTCTATTCCAATCCTCATGACAGTTTTTGTAGAATTGATCATATATTCATGCAGGTCCAGCAGCTCCCCTCAGTTCGGCGGATAACTATTCCCTCCTCACCCTGGTCAGACCATGATCCTTTGGTACTCCTCCTTGCCCTTTCTGGGTCAGAACGGCGCCCTTTTCATTGGCCCATCAATGACTCTTTACTGACCACTCAGGCTACCTGCCAACAAATAGAATTCTTTTTACGGACATACTTTACGGAAAACTCGGGATCGGTCTCTTCAGCAGTGCCCCTATGGGAAGCGCATAAGGCCACGGTGCGGGGTCATGTTATACAGCTGGTGGCAGTCCGGAAGCGGGAGCGGGAACGCCGACTCTTGGAGCTTCATTCTCTCCTGGCCTCTGCGGATGCGCGTTGGAAGTCATCTCCATCCGTGGCCCATAAACACGCTCGGGACTCTCTGGCGACAGAATTGGACCTCCTTGCATCTTCGGAGGCGGAACGGGCCCTGCGTTGGACCAAACATAAATTCTATTCCTGTGCTAATAAGCCCGGTCCCATGCTAACCAGGAAACTCAATTCTGTGGGGAAACCCCATAAACCGATTCGACTTTCCATGGGTGGCTGTACTTCTAATCCCCAGCAGATTGTTTCCCGATTCTCGGACTTCCTTTCGCGCCTCTATGCTGCCCCAGATCCCTTCCCTGTGGCCCAGGCAGAGGCATTCTTTCAAGACCTCCATCTTCCTGGAGGTCTTAACCGAATGCAGCACAGGCGGCCCTCAACGCTGGTGTCACCGTACCGGGAGTGCTCCAAGCGATCAAATCTTTACGGTCCACCGCGGCCCCAGGTCCCGATGGCTTCTCCGGTCTCTATTATAAAACATTCTCGGCCCTATTGGCGCCCTTTTTAGCTGCCTATTTCAATGAGTTACGACAGGGCTCCTTGCCCCTCTCCGGACGCACTTAGGGCACATATCTCTATGATTCCTAAGACGACCGAGGATGTCCAGGAACCGCAAGCCTTCCGGCCCATTTCTCTTCTTAATGAAGACCTGAAGATATTGGGCACGATCCTTAGTTTTCGCATCAATAAATATTTGTGTAGCCTGGTCCACAGGGACCAAGTAGGGTTCGTCCCCGGGAGGCAGGAGGGTGATAACGTCCGTAAGGTGGTCCATCTTATACATTTTCTGCAACAACGGAAAATCCCAGGATTCTTACTGTCCTTGGACATATATAAAGCTTTTGATTCTCTATCCTGGGAATATCTGCGGTTTGTGCTGTCTCGTTGGGGTTTCGGGGATTCTATTCTCTCTTGGATTCAAGCCTTGTATTCCTTTCCTTCGGCCTCCGTTAAATACGCTGGGTATTTCTCGGATCCCTTTCCTGTTGGACGAGGGACGAGGCAGGGCTGCCCGCTGTCCCCGGCGCTCTTTGTCCTGGCGCTTGAGCCACTGGCTTTAGCGCTCCGGACCGATTGCAATGTATCGGGGGTTCCATACGGGGGACAGGAGTTTAAGCTGAGCCTCTTTGCGGACGATGCCCTCTTGACCCTTACTAATCCTCTGACGACGCTTCCTAACTTGCAACGGGTTCTTGAGCGCTTCTCCTTGATTTCGGGTCTACGTATCAACTTGGATAAAACCGTCGCTCTCAATATTACTTTGGCTTCAGATTTGGTTTTGCAATCCCACTTCCCTTACCGGTGGGCTTCCTCTTCTCTTGAATACTTGGGCATTCGCTTGACCCCCACCTATGACTCCCTTTTTGCTGCAAATTATTATCCTTTGCTTAGCTCTTTATCTTCTCTTATGCATTCCTGGCAATTTCCGCACCTGTCTTGGATAGGATGGGTTCATTCAGTGAAAATTACCATCTTGCCGAAATTGTTATATTATTTTCGCACCCTAACAGTGCGGGTTCCCCCTCATTTTCTTCGGTTGCTTCAGGCGAAGTTTATGCGTTTCATCTGGGCCAATAAGCACCCCAGAGTCTCCAGAAATACGCTCTTTGCTCATAGACTCCAGGGTGGTCTTGGGGTACCCAATGTAACTAAGTATTATCAGGCGAGCCAGATTGCCCCGCTGTCTATGTTGCACGCTTCCTCCGATGTTCCTCTCTGGGTCCTGCTGGAACTACCTAATTGTGCCCCTATCGCACTGTCGACACTTCTATGGCTTCCCCCTGCCCTGCGCCCTATGGCGCTGAGTCCGATGTTGCTCCATGGCCTACAAGTCTGGGACTCGGTACGTTACTCCAGTGGCCTGATGTCACCCTTTTTGCCCTTGCTTCCAATCGTTAACAACCCTCTTTTCCCGCCGGGTCTAGATCACCCGAGGGCATTTTCTTGGTGGGTGGCTCATGGTTTCTCACAGATGCGACACTTTTTGATTTTTCGGTCCTTCCCCACCTGGAATTTCCTTCGGGAGTCTCGGGATGTTCCCCCAGCGGAATTTTTTCGGTACCTTCAATTGCGGCACTGGCTACTCTCGCTGAGGGCCACTTCTGCTTCCCCATATCAGACATCTGCCTTTGAACGGCTTTGCCAGCAGCGTCCGGGCACCCCGGGCCTTATCTTCCTTCTTTACGCAGCTTTGAACAGACTATCGTCGCACACTTCTCTTTCATATGTTGTTCAGTGGAAGCGCGACCTGGGAGTGGCTGTGGATCCGGAGGACTGGAATAAAGCCTGGTCACTCATAGCTAAATGTTCATTTAATACGACCACGCTGGAAGCAGCCTACAAGGTATTGTTTCGTTGGTATTGGGTTCCGGCTCGTCTGGCCCAGGCTAACCCTGCCTGTAATGATCGATGTTTTCGGGGTTGTGGCCATCGTGGCGATGTACTGCATATCTGGTGGTCATGCCTGAGGTTGGTTAGTTTTTGGTCTCGTGTGTTTGGCCTCCTTTTCACTTTGTTCCATCTCTCCATACGCCGGGATGCTCGGTATGCTTTGCTTCATTGCCCCATACCGGGCCTCTTGGCTCGTCAGCAGCGGTTGGCTTCCTATTTGTTTTTATCGGCCACTAGGACAATTGCTCAGACCTAGAAGAGTCTGTTTGTCCTTTTTCAGGGGGTGCGGGATCGTATGACTACTATGATGCTCAACGAGCAGATGTCGAGTATATTCAACGACTCTCAACGTAAATTTTTGAAAATATGGGAGCCGTGGTTGCAATATGCCTTTCCCACGCTCCCCCCGGCCAGTGTGGGGAGGTAATGGAGTTTGGTATTGGCGCTCATGGACCCCTGCTCTTTGGTGGTGTGTTTTTTTTTTTTTTTTTCCTCTGCTCTTCTTCTCTCTTTTTCTGTTTGTTTTGGTGTGACAGTGGACAGCTGTCTTTAGTTGCGATAGTCAGAGTTTCACTGATGTTATTGTAACTTATGTGCCATTGATAGCCCCTGCGTGGGCATACGTTTTGCCTTATTGGAATTAGAGTGTTGTCTGCTCTAATATGCCTTTTTTATCGGTGCAATTGATAGCCCCTGCGTGGGTGTGTTTTGTTGCCTCTGTTTTATACTGTTTAAAATTAATAAAAACCATTGAAATACAAAATAGAAATGAGAGGCAAAACATGTGTGTATAGGTATAGATTTTAAACACTTTTTACCCTTTTGTATAAGCGATCACATTCCCTCTGCTCTCAGGAAGGAACAACATCAGTACACTGAACTTCCCCGTGAATGGCTGTGCGGAAGGGGGGAGGTGTCAGGACATGTCTGATCATTGGAGGAGAGCAGGCTGTGTTCCCAGCACAGCTAGAGAACTGACCACACTGTCCTCTCATGCCTAGTGTGGTCAGTTTTTTTTTTCTTTTAATAGCATAGGGACTGGTAGGAACACCAAAGTTTTCACACAAAGATAATAATACAAAGAGAACATACTTTTCATACAAGTATATGGTACAGCAGGCACATACCAGGAATATGAAATGATGGGTTTACATATTCTTTAGGAAGCCATGAAACATTGTTCCATCTAGAACAGTGGTGGTCAACTTACAAGATATAAGGGAACCTCATGTGTGCCCCCTGACATGACCAAGGTGTTGCGCACGTTACTATATTTTTAATGCTGTTGAAGACTGTCTGAAACTGCATATCTATTACAGGAGAGGGTAAAACCCCAGTAAAATGCTACAGGAGTCATTAGAAACTGAGGGTATGCTGCAGGAGACAGGAGGAAAGTCACTGTCCTGATTTTGCAAGATGAAAAGTAAAGACATAAGCTGGTTTTGATTCTGAGAAGTATTTGTGTGTATGGTGACAGATGTGATGGCTCCTTACTAAGTAAAAAAATACTGCCCATAGCAACTAATCAGATTTGTTCACTAGTGCAAATTGGAAAATGAAAAGCGAATCTATTGGTTGGTTATTATCATTGTGGGAACCTTCCTCCTGTATGTTCTATGTTGACACCTCTTTTCTTGTCCCCCCAGACAGTGGTCTTCTGCTCTGGAGCCAAAGTAGGGTTTTTCCAAGGGGACATACGTCTACTAACAGATGATATGAAAGTTCTGAAGCCGACGGTGTTTCCCACTGTGCCAAGATTGCTCAACCGTGTCTACGACAAGGTACAGGATCATGTTAATTTCAAAGCAGTGATGGCATTTGCCTTTGACCTGGCAATACAGGGTAATTCAGACTGAAAGCAATAGAGATTCTGGTATAAGGGTTTGTGTAGAAGGGTAACGCCTCAGGTATTTAGGTGTGTTCAGTTTGCATTTTAGAACATTTGAGCTGCTTCTGAGCTCCTTCAACAATCTTTGAACAATATTATACTGTGTCCTCACTTCATACTTAAGATGGCAATAGATGAGCAGAATTTTAAAGCAAATTCTTGGGAAAAGAAGGTTCTAAGAAAGTTTGTTCATTTTACTAATCAATTGTGGGGTCAAATTGACATTTGTTTTCCACCATAGTGACGAGAAACTTCATAGGAGCAAGGTGGAACATGTTCTCGAACAAAAAAATTTTTATTGGTGTATGTGCTTGGTTTGGTAAAGTCCATTCATTCCAAAATCAGATGTTAAAATCAAACAAAATCTTAGATTTTGTGTATGAATTTTCCTAAACATTTTCATTTGAAATTCTCTCCATCTATGGCCAGGTTTATGGTGCTTTATTTCCCCAAAACACACTTAAAGCAGAACTTCACCCTAAAGGGTTCCACTTAACCCTTCACCACAAACGTTCTACTTTATGTCCTCCTCCCCACCCTTCTTCTTTTTTTTTTGGGGGGGGGGGGGGACAGGTACCTAGTTTTGGTAGATACCTGCTCCCACTTCCGGTTGGATCACCTAGGTGATTCCAGTGGAAGTTAAAAAATTTCATTTGAAGCTCAAAATTTTCATTTGAAATTCTATCCATCTATGGCCAGGTTTATGGTGCTTTATTTCCCCAAAACACACTAAAGCAGACCTTCACCCTAAAAGGTTCCACTTAACCCTTCACCACAAAAGTTCTACTTTATGGCCTCCTCACCCTTCTCTCTTTTTTGGGGGGGGAAGCAGGTACCTAGTTTTGGTAAATACCTGCTCCCATTTCCGGTTGGATCACCTAGGTGATTCCAGTGGAAGTTCAGCACCCCTCTCTTTGCCTGCAGCCTCTTGAGACATGTCACAGGTCCCAGGAGGCCATGGGACCATTCACAAAGTGCAGCGCGGCTCAGTCTTTCGCAGTGGGAAGCCGGCTGTGGAGCCGCAAGGAATCACAGCCAGCTACCCACAGTAAAAATGCTAAACCCAAAGACTGGCAAAGAACCGGCCCAGGTGAGGACAGCACTGGATCCCTGGTCATTTTATTACAAGTCAGTAGCTACAGTATTTGCATAGTTGCCAACTGTCACGAATCATCCAGAACAGTCACATATATTGATCTGTTGTCCCAACCTGACCTTGTCCCGGGCTGTGTCCCAAAAAACAAGGTTGCTCACGATCAGAGAGCAGTGCCGCGGGTGCCATCTGTGTTTGACAGGTGTGCAGGAAGATCACAGGAACAGATTCCTCCTTCTACCTCCTCCCCGGCAGCTGATCCTAGGCTCTCATTGGAAGACTGAGCATCCCCCGAGAGGTTGAGTCTGCGAGACTTGCCATTTGATTGGGCCAGCCTTGCACATGACTGTTCCCCGCTTGTCTTCTGCTGGTACATGTGTGAGGCTGCAGACTGTGAGTAAGAGCAACAGGGGTCTGAGGGAAGTTAATGTTGTGGGGGAGTAGTACTATTGTTGTGCAGCCAGGGACCCTGGGGGTGGTTGGTTATGCTGAGATGTGTAGTTCCACATCAGCTGGAGAGTCTCCTATTGCTGTTATTTTGGAGAAACCACAAGTCCCAGCATGCTGACCTTTTTCCCAGACAGAGTATGCTGTGACTTGTAGTTCTTGACAGCTCAGGAATGGGTCCAATGTGGAACTGAAAGTCACAGAAAATTAATTTACTATAGAATCTGGTACAAGGAGGTACCCCTGGATATCAGAGACTGCTGGGAATTGTAGTTCTAGTCCACACAGAAAGCCACAGTGTCCCTCTCACTGCTAGAGAAGTGTTCACCAGTGACCGACTGCTGGGGAACCTCTAATCTCATTCTGAGTTTTTTCTGACCTGCTTCTATCCTCCTGACCTCCTTCTCTTCTTCCGATCTGCTCTACTTTATTTCTCTTCCTAGTTTCCTTCTGACATATTCTCTGCTATTTTATTGTTCTTCTGTCCTGCTTTTGTTTTCCTGACCTTTTTCCAACCTGCTTCTATCGTTCTCCTGACTTCCTTTTATCCTTATGCTGACATTCTTAAGTCCTCTGTCTGACCTGCTTTTGTCCTCTTTCTGAACTCGTTCCAATCCCTTTCTCTCCTCCTTCTGACTTCCTTTATCCTTCTCGCTTTTCTGACTTAATTCTTCTCCTTCTGTCTTTTTGCTGACCTTCTTCTGTCTTATTGTTAATCACTGTGTGTCCTCCTTCAGACCTTCTTCTGAACATATTCTAGTCTTTTTTATGACCTGTTTCTATCCCTCTCCTGACCTCCTTCTAGCCTTAAGCTGACATTCTTCAGTCCTCTTTCTGACCTACTTCTGTGCTCTTTCTATCCTCCTTCTGATATCTTGCTGCCTTCCTTCTGACCTAATTCTTTTTCTGCCCACTTGCTGTGGCAGCACCCAAATATTGCAGAGTTTCCCTTTAAGCTTTAACATTTTTAAAAGCATCTGTTTGCAGAACCAGGTCATCAGCTCACTTCCTCTCCCTCATTTCCTGTGGAACAATGTGTTCCAGTCTAATAGCTTACACTCTAACTTTCAGTTCGTGATATTTTATCTATATGTGAAACCGCAAAGGCTATATCCTGAACTGCTCAGAATGTATTTTAAAGGTACAAAAAGTAAAGAGGAAATATATGCATTGTGACGTAATTCTTGATATATACACCATGTAAGATGCTTTTCAAGGCACTTTGCTTGCAGACACGAGTCTGGCTAGGTCAACCAGCTAGTAAATAAAAAGCTTGTTTTCCTCAAGTCCGTGTCCGGAGTTTTCTTGGAATTCCCAAAGTTGCCATTACATTGCTAACCTTCTTTAGTCTCATTTTCAACTTCCATGTGTCCTCCTTCTAACATTCTTCTGTCCTTCTGACCTCCTGTCATTCTGCTGACCTTCAGTTTTCCTTCTGATGTTCATACATCTCTCCTATCTCTGGCCTCCTTTCTTTCTTCTGTTCTCTTTCTGACCTTCTGTCCTCTATGAATGTGGAGAAATGTGTAGACTAAAGGTAGCCATAAACAGCTTGATCTTTCCCCCTCAGTCCTGAGGCTGAACAAGAGAAATTTAATCAGAGGGAATCTCCACTGCCAACTTCTGTATTTAGCAGCTGTGGCACTCGTCTGATAGGATACAGTCATTGTGCAGCCGATAATTTTCCACATGGCTCTGTCAATTTTTAAATTGACTTGTGTTAATTGGGGTGCTTGCAGGGCTACCCACAGCTTGTATTTTGTCCAATTTAGCAGAAACTCCCCAATATTCGAGCTGTCTATGACGAGCCTAAGGTTCACAGATAACACCTTGTACCAAAAACCCCACCAGATACAAAGTGGAGCTCAGACACCATTCAAGAAACGCCTGTTGGAGTTTGCAGTGGCATGCAAGTTTGCTGACGTGAAGAAAGGCATTATCCGGAGAGACAGCATCTGGGACAAACTGATATTCAAGAAGGTCCAGGTCAGTGGTGTCTCATGTACATAATCTCCTTTCCGGTACAGAATACATTCCAGAAGCAGAGGGTTTTTCCTACAGCAATTTTTCATAAAGTAGTTCAGAGGGATGAATATTATCCAATGGTCTCCCTTCCATGAGCACCTACAGATGTAACTGAATTTTCATCTGCTGGTAGATTAGGTAGCAGTCATGTGTTTGTATGCCCTTTCTCCCCACTAGTACTGGCTGTTGAGGTAAGAAATTGGCTAGGATGTATTATTTTGCTGATTTTTATTGTTTTCCCCTTCCTAGGCCAAAATATTGATCAGTAAATTTAATTTTGACAGCAATTTTATTAGAAAGTTTGCCTGCTGATCAATGAACGTTCAGCTGCTCACCATCTGCTTTCTGTAGACACTTTAAAGGGAAATTTAATGATTTGGTGTCAATTTATTTTAGTTTTTAAAAGTTCATGTTTTTTTTAAACTGATGACTACTTATAAAAAAAATCTTCAGTTTACAAATAAACTTTTAATACATGATGCACCCATGACACTGGTGTCACTGAAGTTTCGATAGAGCGAGTGCAGCAGAAGTTGTTTGCTTTCAGATTGTCTCTCTGTGACTAAAGCTCCATATGGCTCCATCTGAAAGGAACAGGGAGAGAGGGACAGGTAGAGGGGGGAGAGAGAGGATTCAGTTCACTAACTTATTCAAATAAATTGGAGGAGTAGGCAGTTCACTGATTTATTCAGATCTTTGAATATTTAATTTACAGGATGGTTTTCTTGATATATACACCATTTGTCAGCACACAAAATTATAATCACAATTAAACTCAATTAGACTCAGGTCCACAGCCATAAGATCTTATATGGCAAGCAACCTTCTTTGTTTTTTGGTCAAACAGCTTCAAATTGGTAAAATGCAATTTTGAATGGTTTTTATAAGAGCCTGAACTTCTATTGTACACATACTTTAAAAATAACAAAAAACTATATTGTAAAAAAATATATAATGACATGTTTTCTCATCACAAATGAAGACTTTAGAGATATAAAACAATAAATCAAAGTTGATTTAGTTGGATATCCAGCTGAGCAGCCTCAGTGTCTGAAAGGCGCAGAGGTTTGGCTTAGTGGAGATACTTTGGCTCGGCTTTTGTTGATTCCAGTGCTTTCATGCCTATGGCATATTTGCTGCATTAACTGTGTATATATTCTCTCTGCTATCCACAGGAAACTATGGGTGGACGTGTCCGAATCATGGTGACGGGTGCTGCTCCAATATCAGAGAATGTTCTGTCTTTCCTGAGAGCCTCTCTTGGATGTCAGGTACTTTAATCAGTTCCACCCCTCATCTCCATCATTTACTTCCAGTTAGTATTTGGGGACAACACAGACTGCATATATGACATGGTGCTGGTGGCAAAGCAAGGACTGGCCGAGATTCGATCTATCTGTGGTCAGGCTGATTGCACTCAAGTCAATTCATCGATGTACATGGTACAACCAACCTGTTGGATCTTTAGCATGTGATTACTGCCTGCGGCTATAATCGCTAGCTGTAATCATTGTGTCCTGCCTGCCAGGAAAGCTCCCAACGCCTCCCCACAGCCAGAACACAATAGCTTCCCAGGAGGGATTCCCCCATCAACACCGACTGTGATGAGAGAATCAAGCTTTTTTCTTTCCATCCACTTGTTGTGGAAGGAAATAAAATCGATTCACTTATAGCTTGCCTAAGCATGTCTGAAAATCTAAAAACTAACCAAGCCAAACAAATTCCTTATCCTAACACTAAACTTTCCCCTAAACCCTAACCCCCCCCCCCCCCCCCATGCTAGGAATGTGGAAAGGATAGAACCCCATTAGGTTTTATTGCTCAACCAGCATCTAGAGCAGGGGTCTCCAAACAATCAGTACAAGAACCACATCATATATTTTATGAATATTCATGGACTGGAAGAAAGAATCTTCATCAGTGTTCTCTCTTACATCAAAGTCCCCATCAGACTCTTCCCTTATATCAGGTTCCTCATCAGAGTCCATTCCTTACACCAGGGTCCCTATTGGAATCTTCCTTACATCAGTGTCCCCCTACATCAGTGTCCTTATCAGAATCACCCTTAACATCACAATCCCCATCAGAGTCCCACTTTCATGAGAGGCCCCCTATGTAGACCATAGGCAGCCTCTGCAGATTGTAATGCTCAATCTGTGCACATTGAGACTACACCACTAACCCTAGCTGGGGGCCAAATAAAATCTTGTAGCAGGCTGGATGTGGCCCGTGGGCTGTAGTTTGGAGACCTGTGATCTGGAGCAGTCATAGTAAAGTGGTTGTAAACTTGAAGCTGAAAAAAAAAACTTTTCCCCTGAAAAGCATTGTTAGCATGTGCTACTATGCATCTCATACTAGCACATGATGTGAACCTTGCGTTAAAACGAAGCCCTCCAGCAGCATGCTAGCACCATTGGCAGGGCTTCCATCTTCACATGCCTTCCTTCCAGGTTCATGGGCTCCGGTCCTTTGAATGGCCGAGCCACAATGACGTCACTCCCACACATGCTCCCAGGAGCCATTGTTTACGGAACAGGGCTCTGAAGGAACGGCACAGGTATATAGTTCCATCAAAGCGCATTCGCTGGTGACGTCATCGGCAGCTGCACAAGTAAATATCTCCTAAACAGTGCACGTTTAGGAGATATTTACAGTACCTACAGGTAAGTTGTATAGGCCTACAGGTAAGCCGTATAGGCTTACCTATAGGTAAAGCATAAATACACTTTAATTACCCCTAAGGATCTTTCCAATTTTATCAGATTTGTGGGCAGGGCTTAAGGCACCCTAATGGGGACACTGTGTAACTGTTCTTGTTAAAGCCTAAACCATGGGCAGGAGCTGCGGTCATGTGAAACCAATGTTAAGGCGGTACACCAGACTTAGAAACAAGTAGGACACCTGCACAGTTAACGCTTTGTAATCCATTGCCATACTTCTCACGCTGTTGGCACTAATGCACTTTGGACATAACTTCTATTAGAGAACACCTCTCCCTCCAGTTGTGAAGAATTTCTGAACTGGTACCACAGAGCGTGTACCAGTCTCCACCAACTCAGTAGTCTTACCAACTCATTTCAAGTGACTGATCCCTATGTTAATAATGGATACAGGAAACACACTTCTGCATAGCTCCATGGGTCTGGAGCCCCCATTACATCTCCATGACTCCAGGTTTGGTCCCTAGGTACTCCATGCCAAAAGGTTGATCCCAATATGTGTGGAACCAGTCACTAGTGAAAAGGCCAAGCATAACACCCCGTTACTACCAGAGTATCCGTCACCTCTGCCATGTCACCAGCTTCCTAGCTGGCTGGATGATTTAGCAAGTGACACAAATATTGTAGTCATTAGCAGAAGCAATATAGCCTCATTAGGACAGTTTCTCTGCTTGTTAGAACTCTGTACTGTATCTTCTCTAACCTCTTCAGTCCCCTGTTGTAAGACCTGTTCTTTTGATACATCTTACATGCATCCCTTTAGAGACTTCAGACCAGGCATTTTAGATGAACAATAAGGATCTTATATTGAAGTAGTTACAAATGAACAGTTCTCAAAGACATCTCCTCATACTATACTGTACAAAGTTCTCTAAGTGCCCCTGAATAGTGCCCCATGAGGTAGTCATTCCTGAGTTAGGCAGTAAAGTCTGTATAAGTCAAGGCAAGAGTCCATAACTGACAGCAAATCCACATAATATCCATAATCAGGGTCCAGGATAAAGTAGTATAGGTCAGTGATTACTTTGCTGTATTTGCCCCATGTATGGCAGCCCACTGAAATCAATGGGCGGCCCTATACGCTTTACGCGAAAAACATGAAAAAAAAAAAACCAAAAACCACTGGTTTCAAACATGCTAGATGTGAATGGGGCCTAAAACACAGGGATGCATGGAGAGCAGCCTGACGACCTGTGTGCAGGGGGCCTTAGGCGAATGGCCTTAGGTGAATCTCTTCAGTGGAGACACAGATTGTAATAAATTGTGACAAAGGTTCTGATCGTTCCCTAATCCATCCAAGAAAGTTTGATGTGTAGATGTTCTTTCAGGGAAGTTCTTTGCACTATGGTAATACACATGGGTTATCATACATTATTTTATGTGGCTGAGTTGCGTTGAGGCAGCTCATTAAAAGTGAATAGGCTGCTAATGCGTCTGAATGTGGCTAAAATCACACATGACCCTTTTTTAATAACGCAATGCATTACTATAATGTTGCTGCTGCAACTATGCAGGTGCAATATTTTAGTGTGCAGGGGTTCCATTCAAAATGAAAGGCAACCTTAATGCAGCAAAGTATGTTACACGTGTTACCACATGTTGCTGTAACACGCTAACACATGCAATACCACAACACAGAATTATGAATCTGACTCTGAAGCATCTCATGTGCAGTTTAAATGTTCCAATCACAGATATTTGAAGCCTATGGTCAGACAGAGTGTGGAGCGGGATGTTCATTCACCACGCCAGGAGACTGGACGGCAGGTAAATTATGTCAATTGCTGAGTATTATACAATGGGAAATGATGGGACAAGAGGAAATTATAGTATAATAAAAGTTGGTTTCATTAGATTTTTAGGTTACAGTAACCTATGTAGTAACCTATGTAATGCAGACCTATTCAGTAAACTTCACTTATATGTCTAATTTTATACACTGTGTGTGTATGTATATATATATATATATATATATATATATATATATATATATATATATATTCTGATCTTCTGATCTTCCTCCTCAGTAGCTTTGCACAGCACACCTAGTGTATATTGTTTTTCCCTCTAGACAGATCTATCAGTCTAGAACAGTGGTCTCCAAATTGCAATCCCCTTGCTTACCTTTATCGTGGGGCACCATTCCTCCCATTGATATAAATGACAGAATGCTATTCTTCCCACTGACACCAATGATGGGACACTATTCCTCCCTCTAATACATGATGGTACACTATTCCTCCCCCAAATACCAACGATGGGACAGTATTCCTCCCCCTTATACCAATGATGGGGCACTATTCCTCCCCCAAATACCTATGATGGAACACTATTCCTCCCCCTAATAAAAATGATGGAGGACTATTTCCTCCCACTGACACCAATGATAAAACACTATTCTTCCCCCTAATAACAATGATGGAGGACTATTCCTCCCCCTAATAACAATGATGGAGGACTATTCCTCCCACTGACACCAATGATAAAACACTATTCCTCCCCCTAATAACAATGATAGAGGACTATTCCTCCCCCTAATACCAATGATGGGACACTATTTCTTCCTCTAATACCAATGATGGGACACTATTCCTTTCACTAATACCAAAGGTGGGACACTGTTCCTTCCACTAATACCGATCATGGGACACTGTTGCTCCCCTAATCTCAATGATGGGGCACTATTCCTCCTCCTGCTGACCACAGTAGCTATGTAATCTTTTTTTCTCCCATTGACCACCAAACCTGAGACATTATCTACTCCCAATTGCCACAGTCTGGCCCCCTCAAACTCTGAAGAACAGAAAATTGGTCCTTTGCTTAGAAAGTTTGGAGACCCCTGATCTAGAATATACAAATCATAAGCTGAAGTACAGAGCCCAGTATGGAAGAGTAAAAATGTAATGTCAAATATTGCATATAGATAAATGTATTAAAAATAGCTTGTAAATGGCCAATCCACTCAAAAATCATATTTTAGTCAATGATAGAGGTTGGTAAGCTGAGTTATGCTTCTTCGATATCTAACAGTGAGAGTTAATTCCTGACTCTGTGTCTGTCTACCTGGGAATTTGGGGTTTTTCTGCCCATATTTGTGTATTCTATCTGCTTCTATTACATTCTACATAATATAGAGTAAATACAAATCCAACAGGGATGGTGGGAACCCCTCATAATGGGTATAGCAAGTGTTCAGACTTGGGAACTCAGTCCTGGAATGGTAAGAGCCCTCATATTTGAAAGGCAGATGGTTCCAAGCTGGAAAACAGAGCAAGGAAGGTGGGAACTTTTCAAAATGGGCACAGCTAATGTACAGACTCAGGAACTCAGCACAGAGATGATGGGAAGCCTTCATTTTGGGCACAGTAGGTGGATAGACCTGGAAACGTAGCTCAGGAATGGTGGGAACCCCTCATAATGGGCACAGCAGGTTTACAGACCCAGGAACTCAGCACAGGAATAGTGGGAAGCCCTCATATTGGACACAGTAGGTGTATGACCTGGAAACCTAGCTCAGGTATGGTAGGAACATCCCAAAATGGGCACAGCAGGTGTGTAGACCCAAGATCTTAGCTCAGAAATCTCACCAATAAGATCCCCAAGGGATAACACAGACAGTTAGGAGGTTTCTTCCTTCAGCATCTACAAATCTCTGAAATATCAGTTCAGGGGGAACATCCCTTTAAAAAATATTCTAATACGCCTTCATGGAATACGATGATGTATTACAATAATCTATGTATCTTGTTATTCTTCTAGGTCATGTTGGGGGTCCTCTTCCATGTAATTTTCTTAAACTGGTGGATGTAGCAGAAATGAACTATTTCTACTCTAACGGGGAAGGAGAGGTAAATTGGTCTTTGGGATCTGTAGAAAATTCCCTCAGAAGATATAACAAGGGTCAGTTTATGTTTCTTTCTTTCTCTTTCACATTAAGGGCCCTAAAAATCATCTCACTATGGAGTTTCTGAAGGTCGGGGAACTATAAAACTCCAAAATAAAATAAGAACTGTACAATTTCCTTCCACTTCTCATGGACACCCATCAGATAGACAGAAAGTGAGGAGAAATCTCTCCACTGGGCACACATGCAGTATTAAAAGGACAACTTCACCGTTAGACAGTTGACATTTAGAGCTGACCTCCAGCCTTCCCTTCAGTCTTGCACAGTGGTCCAGGCTCCTCTCCTGTACTGAAATTGCTTACTCTGATTTTATTGCACACTGTAAGCTTCTCACAATGTGCATTAGAAGCTGCAGCAAGTCAGATAGAGCCCACCTCATTTCCTGGCTGGAGGAAATCCAGCATCATTTTGCCTTTTCCTCCCCAGCCTGACTTCCCTTAGATGTACATGAATTCAACGTTTTGATGTGAAAATGCAGAAACGAGAAGAAGAAAACTAATGAGGCTAAAGTAAGTTATTTGTTCTTCTTTTTTAAATCATTCCTCACGTTATTATATTCCAGGTCTGTATTAAAGGCCCCAACGTCTTTCAGGGTTATCTGAAAGACCCGGAGAAGACAGCAGAGGCAATGGATGCAGATGGTTGGTTGCACACGGGAGATATCGGAAAATGGCTTCCTGTAAGTAGCTCCAATGTTTTGGGTTAGTCCACCCAAAAACACTAGAATTACGCTCCGTCTTCTTAAACCTCTCAAAGACTTCTATGGCGCTTTAAAGGCCCTTTCATGTTTATGCTTGGGTGGTATTGTACTCTTTTGCATGTTATTTTGTGCATTTGCTATGCATAGTTATCTGCATTTTTGGGCATCCTAAGACCCATTGCACATTAGGGCTTTAGTTTGCAACCCTTCCAGTGCTTTAGTGTGGCCAGGTGAGACAGGTGTGGTGTCCAGCATCACTGCAGGCAGAGTGTGTTTAGGGTCCTGTTCATTCAACAGCAAGGTTTCAGGACCAGGGGCGGACTGACAACTCATGGGGCCCCCGGGCAATAGGGGATCATGGGGCCCCTGTGTCCTTGCCCAAACTCAAAAAAGCCTATGAAAAAGGTACCAGGGGCATCTCATGGGGCCCCCTACTAATCCGAGTTTCCAAATGGTCAGCCCGCCCTGTTCAGGACACAGAAGACCAGTGTGCAAAGAGCTTTAACAAGTGTAGCACTACCCCCTTAGGAGCTGCTGAAGAAATGGGTCCCCCTGTAGTCCTGCACAGCCAGGCATCGTACATTTTCTATTCATACTTGTACCAGGAGACAGAGATCTAGTCCTCAAGCTTTGTTTTTTTAAGTTTTATTAGAGATATAAAACTTGGATGGGGTAAGGGTTGTATGGGATGCCCAAGGCAATGGCAATTGAGGACAAACTTCCTGAACTATATTACAAGTCCCAAAGCCAGAACCTCTCTTCTAGGAGAGCTCTCCAGCAGGGCCGGACTGACAACTCATGGGGTCCCCAGGCAATAGGGGATCATGGGGCCCCTGTGTCATTGCCCAAACTCAAAAAAGCCTATGAAAAAGGTACCAGGGGCATCTCATGGGGCTCCCTACTGACCCCAGGCCCTCGGGCAGTGCCCGAGTTTCCAAATGGTCAGTCCGCCCCTGCTCTCCAGCCTCTATCACCCCAGACTCCAGATAAATCCTCTTCTTTATCCAGCTGTCTGGAGGAATCCCTTGGCAAGGGAGTCCAAGGCTGCCACTTGAAATGTAACAGATCCGGATGTAGAGCTAGTCAGGATACCCACCCAAATGCTCTCTCCCCTCTCTGGCCAAGGGATGTAGAAGTACTCACTGAGTCCTTCTCCTGTGCTACTGTTGGGTAGGTGACTGCTGCCAGGCCTATTAGCTAGGCTGTTCCTTCCCTGCAGCCAGGTGGTCCTTTCTCAGGGGGCCAGTGAAGTCCACAGTTTTCTTCCAGAGGGGCTGGCCTGCAGAGCCTCTCAGCCCTAAGCACAATTTTACCCCACTCTGTCTATTACACCTGGGCTACTGCTCATCCCTTATCTAACCATTGGAGTCTAGCTCCCCTAGCAACCTAGGAGGGCAATACACAAGCATTTTTTGTTCATGTATTACAAAGGAAACATTCAGAATACTTGCTACATGCTTTTGTCCATTTGCCACATATGTGCATGTGAACATAGAAAAAAAAGTTTTGTGTACTATCTGTTTTTAAATGCACCCAAAACGTAGCCAAGCACATAGCAATAAATGCATCAGTAAAAACATGACTAAGAGCAATAAACAAGTATTTAAGGCCAGATAAAGTGCATTGGTCTTGCAAAGGTCTACAAACGTTTCAGTACAAGGGTCACAATTTATATTTTACAGATGTTTGCATCCTTTCCATTAGGGTCCCCATCAGAGTCTCCACTTGCATCAGTGTCCCCATCAGAGTCCTACTTACATGAGTGTCCCCATCAGATTTCCCCCCTTCCCATCAGGGTCATTAGAAACATTTCTTCTCACTACCTGTTCCCCTGGCAAACATTTTATCAGACAGGAAGAGAGGGATAACATGCAACAGGCATACAGACAGAAATAAAAAAATACAGAAAGGAACAACTGACCAAAATCTGATAAAGGAATCCAAGATAATTTTCAATGTTGATAAAAAAAAGTCAAATAAAAACATTGAATGCTTTTTGGGTGTGACAACACTTCCCCTTCATCAGGGGAAAAAGACCAATGGTATCAGTGGGAACTTATCTGAGAGGCAGAAATTGCTCAGAGCTCAAGGAGCCCCTAACAACTTCTGGATTTACCCCCCTACAGATAGCTAAAAAGACCAATGGTATCAGTGGGAACTTATCTATCTGTAGGGGGGTAAATCCAGAAGTTGCTAGGGGCTCCTTGAGCTCTGAGCAATTTCTGCCTCTCAGATAAGTTCCCACTGATACCATTGGTCTTTTTAGCTGAGAGGCAGAAATTGCTCAGAGCTCAAGGAGCCCCTAGCAACTTCTGGATTTACCCCCCTACAGATAGCTAAAAAGACCAATGGTATCAGTGGGAACTTATCTGAGAGGCAGAAATTGCTCAGAGCTCAAGGAACCCCTAGCAACCTAGGATTCCATGGAACCCAGGTTCGAGTAACCCTGCTCTAGAGGCTGTCTGAAGAAATTCAATAAAATCTGTTCAGGGTATTTGTCAACAATGTCCACTACCATTGAGGAGTGATATATCTTATACGTGCCCGACAGTTGAAAATTGATTGTATTATGAGAGGGTTTTCGTACCAAGTCCTATGAAGGCTCTTTCACTTTAAATCCATTGGAGTCTATATAAAGGAGGCACAAATACGCAGAGTATACTTGACTCTGTGTATTTGCATGTTCTGTTGTTTGTATTACTAAGAAAATGTTAATAACATTACCCATAAAAAAAAGAATACCCTGGGTTTAGATCCATATGTAGAAAGTCCAATGAGAGTGTCAGACCAAAGATCTAAAAGACCAAAATCTTTTCATATTGATGTTAACTCATAGCAAGAGAAAATAACAGAGCCGACGCATTTTGGAGGCACAAAGCCCTTCTTCAAGGTCTAGATATTTATGTGGATCAGAGCACTAAGGAATAGCACAGTCACTGGGTTAAATGTTTTCATGTGAACAATAAAGTTTTGCGAAAGGCGTTTTGCTGTCAAAGCTAGCCAGGGAAGTTAGTGGGGGGGAAGGGGGCTGCCAAGTAAGCTGTACAGGGCCCCTTGATTCCCATAGGCTGCCATGGCTCAATCCATGGAAGGCAATCAGAGATAGGCAGAAGACAAGGAATGATCATTTCTGATTGGTTGCTCACACAATCCCACAATGAAATTAGCCAACAGTCATCCCCAGTGAAAAATGAGGTGATCGGCCATCAGCCACTACTTGAATGAAGTTCACATCTAGTGTGTTTAATCAATTAACAGAACAACGGCTGCCAAATGCTGATTTCACGCATGTTTAGTTGCCCCTTGTTCTAATTTGGTGCTAACAGCATCAAGGCTGAACCCTGCTAGAAGTCATTATGGCATTGTGCTCCAGTTCTGTATTCTGCAAATCAACAGAATCAAGAATGGCTCACAATAGTAAAGCAGAATGCCAATATCCTGTCTCATGGTGGGATTTCCAGGTATATTCAATGCTGTAGAAGCAAATCATTCTGTTGATCCTTCCAGACATAAGGCATCCACGGTGAAAGGTCATTCTGTGGATATTTAAAGGAGAACTTCACTTGCCTCCACTTAAGTGTTGCAACATCTGCAAGCTCCCTCGCCACTGCTAGCATCTTCACCTGGACCCAGGGCCAGTGCTACAACTAGGCAATCTAGGCAGCCGCCTAGGGTGCAGCCACGGCCAGGGCTGCCAATAAGGCAGTACAGTCGACCCTCTTGTAACATTAATGATATTTTCCCTGGGCCCCAGTAGTTTACCAGAGGGTCCCAGGAGACAAGGAGCAGAGAGAGACACTTTTTTCTTCATTTTGGGCAGAGGCGGCTAAAGCAATGCTGATCAGTGGCGGCCGGAAGCGACTGCTCACACCCTTTCACTGGCTGAGTGATTCTTTCAAAGGCAGAGTGATTATATCTTCCTCTGCTGCTGACAGCGAAAGGTGAGGCTGAAGCCCAGCTGCGGGGTGTGATTCAACAGAGAGCCAGCAATGGGAACCCGGTGCACAGGAAAGCTCACAATTTCCATTTTCTGAGGCACAGACAGAGATACAGCCATACACTGCATACAGACAGACATACAGCACATTCTGTACTGTGTGATCATCATCATAATAATGATGATGATCACATACGCACAGTGAGAATCATTCTATTAGTTCTTATTTACACTTGTATTTGAGGGACATTAAAAATGTATGGCTGAGCCATACTTTTACTGTCCCCCAACCAACCCCCATTATGCTGCAAAGTCACTACCACCGTAGTATGGCAATGGGCAGCACAGTGGCTAAATGGTTAGCACTTTCCGCCTGGCAGTACTAAGATTGTTGGTTCAAAACCCAATCACGGCACCACCTGCCTGGAGTTTGCATGTTCTCCCTGTGCTTGTGTGGGTTTCCTCCAGGTACTCTGGTTTCCTCCCACACTCCAAAGACATGCTGGTAGGCTAATTGGCTCCTGTGAAAATTGTCCCTAGTATATGTATGTATGAATGTGAGTTAGGGACCTTAGATTTTACGCCCCTTGAGGGTTAGGGACTGATGTGAATGTACAATATGTATGTAAAGCGCTGCATGAATTGATGGCGCTATACAAGTACCCAGGGGCGGACTGACCATTTGGAAACTCGGGCACTGCCCAAGGGCCCGGGGTCAGTAGGGGGCCCCATGAGATGCCCCTGGTACCTTTTTCATAGGCTTTTTTGAGTTTGAGCAAGGACACAAGGGCCCCATGATCCCCTATTGCCTGGGGGCCCCATGAGTTGTCAGTCCGCCCCTGCAAGTACCTATAATAAATAGTGGTGGGGTGTTGTGTAAAACCCCATGCTGCCATACACCTGTTCACTGATCTCCCTTTCTGTTATTGACGTGGTAGAAACATGTAAAACATCACTTCTGGGTTCTGGTGTCACTGTCCCCAGACAAGATTGAATGATGTTAGTCGGAGACTAAGCCGTCTCCTGCAAACTTCTGCCAGTCTGTGAAGAAGAGGTATCCAGCCAATGAGGTGCCGTGCTGCCCATAAAATACTGTACTTCTTACATCAAATACTTATTTCCTTCACTGTAAATACATTTTTTTACTTTTTCTGTCTCCTCCTGACGGCCAATCCCATTGCAGCAGTGTGAACCAAGCCTAGGCTGACTTGTTTTTTTTTAGGCACACAAGAATCCCATTACGCCATGAGCTTTGTGCAAGCGTGCTAACATATTTTGCACGTTCCCAAACATCGTGATCTAGGGCAGCCTACTAATTTCATGCACCTTATGCACATTAAAAGTGAAAAAATAGTGCCGACACGACTTTTAATTTTGTGCCACAGCAAAAGTCACGGTACTGTGGTACCATATGTTCTGGAAGTGCGAATGCATGTGCGCGTGCAAGATGCGTGGGGGTGCCATTAAGAAATAATAGCACCCATGCGTGTCTGTAAAAGACCATGTGTTTTTGTGTAGTGAGAGGAAAATGGGCATTTTTCTGCACTACACCACGTGTGAACAAGCCCTGAAACAAGTTTTCCCCAAAAACTATTCATAGATTATGATTATTATTTAGACTAGTGGTCTCCAAACTGAGGCCTGGGGGCCGGATGTGGCCCTTTGCTTGCTTTTATCTGGCCCTTGGGGAACTATTCCATCCACCGACTCCAACAATGGGACATCATTCCTGCCACTGACACCAACAATGGGGCACAAATCCTCCCATTTACACAAACGGTAGTATACAATTCCACCCAAGATTATCAACAATGGGGCACTATTCCTCCCAATCACATTAACGATAGGGCACTATTTCTCTCAATGACACCTACAATGGGGCACAATTAATCCCAAAAACACAAACGATAGGGCACAATTCCTTCCACTGACACCAGCAGTTGGGCACGATTCCATCAACTGACACCTACAGTCGGGCACAATTCCTCTCACTGACACCAGTGCTGGGATACAATTCCTTTTTAATGACACCAACCATGGGGCACCATTACCCCAATTAACACCAATGGTGGGGCACTCTTTCTCCCACTGACACCCTTGAAAGGCTACTATTCCACCCACTGACACCAATGATAGGGCACTATTCCTCCCACTGATACCAATGATGGGGCACTATTCCACCCACTGATACCAATGATGGGGCACTATTCCTCCCACTGATACCAATGATGGTGCACTATTCCACCCACTGACACCAATGATAGGGCACTATTCCTCCCACTGATACCAATGATGGGGCACTATTCCTCCCACTGATACCAATGATGGGGCACTATTCCTACCACTGATACCAATGATGGGGCACTATTCCTACCACTGATACCAATGATAGGGCACTATTCCTCCCACTGATACCAATGACGGGGCACTATTCCTCCCACTGACACCAACAATGGGCCACAATTCCTTCCATTGACACCAATGATAGGGCACTATTCCACCCACTGACACCAATGATAGGGCACTATTCCTCCCACTGACACCAATGATGGGGAACTATTCCTTTCACTGACACAGCAATGGGGTACTATCCCTCCCCTAATTTAAAATATTGTTTGTTTACTCGTGAAAAGCCAGGACATTTATTTCTCTGCCTTCCGGCCCCCTAAAGTCTGAAAGACTGTTGACTGGCCCTTTGTTTAGAAAGCTTGGAGACCTCTGATACAGACTACTAGACTATAGACTACATAGATTATTATGATTATTGTATAGACTTTATTTAGCGACAACAGTTTTCTCAGTCCTCTGTGCTGTCCAGCTGTGTCCAATCACAGGTGATCGCATGTAAATAAGGATATGCCGGTTATCAGCATTTCTCTCCTCACGAGGAAATCAGCATTCCTCAGAGGGGATATGTATACTGATCATCAGGGCACCGATGATCAGTGTGCCCTGATGATCAGTGTAGCCCCATCAGTGCCATCTGTCAGTGTCCATCAATGCCAGTTGTCAGTGCTCTTCAATGCACCTTGCCAGTGCCCATCAGTGCCACATCAATGCCACATATCAGTGCCTACCAGTGCACATCAATGCCACATATCAGTGCCCATCTGAGCTGCCTTTCAGTGCCACCTATCAGTGCCAGTCAGTGCCAATCAATGTCATTTAGTGCCGCCTATCAGTGCGCATCAGTGCTACCTATCAGAGCCACCTACTGTAACAGTGCAAGTCATAGCCACCTAACAGTGCACGTCAGTGCCGCCTATCAGTGCCATATATGAGTGCTGCCTTTCAGTGCCCATCAGTGATGCCTGTCAATGCCTATCAGTGCCTCTTCATCAGTGCCCATCAGTGCCACCTATCAGTGCCCATCACTGCAGCCTCATTAGCGCACATCAGTGAAGGAGAAAAATCACTTATTTACAAAATTTTATAACAGAAATTAAGAAAAACTTTATTTTTTCAAAATTTTCAGTTGTTTTTGGTTTGTTTAGCAAAAAATAAAAAACCCTGAGGTGATTAAATACCACCAAAAGAAAGCTATATCTGTCTCAAAAAAATAATAAAAATGTCATATAAGTACAGTGTTGCATGACCGCGCAATTGTCATTCAAAGTGTGACAGTGCTGAAAGCTGAAAATTGGCCTGGGCAGGAAGGGGGTATAAGTGCCCCGTATTCGAGTGGTTAAACACATAGATGTTAATGTCTTTTTAGAATGGGACCCTGAAGATCATTGACAGGAAGAAGAATATCTTTAAACTGGCGCAGGGCGAGTACATCGCTCCGGAGAAGATTGAGAACGTATATGTCAGAAGTGGGCCCGTGGCTCAGGTGTTTGTACATGGTGACAGTCTGCGGGTAAGAACATATACCATGAAAGTATGGATGGTAATCCTCCTAGAAAAATGCTAATGATACACAGGCAGGGGGGAACCTGGGGGCCAATATCTAATTAAGGACAGCATAGGACAGGATATATACAATAAGAGGCTGCTCTCTTATGAAAAAGCCTCAAAGGATGGTCACGCTGCTGGAACATGGAGGTTACACGTTGACTGACATGGCTTGTGAGATATATGATAAGTAACCAATATAAGGCCTCTTTCTCATCTGGGAGAAAGGGGGGGGGGTGTTAGTAAAAACAGAAGGTTGAGACTCAGTATTGCCACCCCCGACTTCTCAACATAAGTCTACAATACAGCGAGAGGGGGCTATTCACATACAAAACACAAACAACAACAGGCGCACCAACCTAGTGCATTATCCCACAGCATTTATTATAAAAGCACATAAAATATACTAACAAACATGTGAAAGGGAATGGCATATTAGACAAGTATCTATAAAGTCCATGCAACTCAGCGACCTCCAAAGCCCAGGGGGAACTCAGGATCTCAAATTACTGACGCGTTTCAAAGGATAAACCTTCTGCATCAGAGGCAAACCTGATGGCTCTGATGAAGGTGGTTTATCCTTTGAAACACGTCAGTCATTTGCTATCCTGAGTTCCCCCTGGGCTTAGGAGGTTGCATGGAGTTTGTAGCTATGGACGGGTAGCTCAACAAGCTACCGGTATTTCCTTTCATCAGGTTTGGTTCTGATGCAGAAGGTTTATCCTTTGAAACGCATCAGAATTTGAGATCCCGAGTCTAATATGCCATTTCCTTTCACGTGTTTGTGAGCATATTTTATGTGGTTTTATAAAAAATAAATGCTATAAAGGATAATGCACTAGGCTGGTGGCCCACTGTTGTTTGTCGTTTGTAGTCACTTCAGGACATCCCCCACAAGTTTTGAGAGGGCAGCAAGGCTTGAAGTACTATCATTGTAGCACCTGTACTGGGATATTAGACTTGTGCACAGAAATTGGTTGTTTTTGTGGGGCTGGTTACATGCCAAGGCATCCAGGAGGTGGCAGGGATTGCCTCCTGAACGCCTGACTGAAAAGTGATCCACCGCAAAATGACTAGTGAGCCTAAGGGCTCATTCACATATGCAGCCGGGGGCAGTAAAACCAGGCGGCATCTCAGTCCAGTCCAACAATAACATGATTAGTAGAACTGGTGATAATCAGAAAATTTTAGGAATAATAACATTTGTGATAGAGTATGTTTAGGAAAATACATTAAAAGCATAATAATGTATAAAATGAACATAAAATAAAATCTAAAAAAATGAATGGAAAAATTATAACATTGGTCATCAAGAATGTCATCCCCAAGTTATTATTTTAATCAATACCCTGATGAAATATGAATCATAATGCACTTTTTTGATTGTGGCCAATGTGAGTTGAATCAGCAATAAAGTGGATTTGCAGCTGCATTTATAGCTTTACTTTGCTGTGTGAGCAATATGAGGCAGCTAAATTTTTGCATGAGATACACCAATGGATGGGATACGGAGGCATTTCACGCTGAAATGCTTATCTTGGTTCAAAGCAGTGAAATAATAATTCAGCCTGTTCCAAGTGCCAAAGGGAGTCTTTCCAGTCCTAGTTAGGTGTACCCAATAATGTGGCCTCTGCAGTGGGTGACTTGGCTGTTTCCAACACATCTGATATTTTGCCGAAAAATGTTTTCCTAAAATCTGTGCTCTACATGTGTTTACAAGCACATTGTCGATGGAAGTGCATTCCTATCTTTGGTTAGATTTTGTCTTTGATGAAGTGTGTTTTTGTTTTAATAGTCCTGTCTGGTGGGGGTTGTGATTCCTGATCCTGAGGTCTTGCCGGACTTCGCAGCAAAACTTGGCACCCGTGGCTATATGAGGAGCTCTGTAAAAACATGGTGAGTTCTGCAGAAATCCAGGATTCAGGAATAGCGTGTTGCATCATATGTATACTGATCTAAGGGCTCTTAATAAACGAGGGGGCAAAAGGGCATACAATGGGGACAATAGGGGGGCAAAAGAAATCAAATACAGGTACAAAAGGAATAAAACATGAGGGCAAATGGAATCAAATATGGGTTCAAAAGTTGGACAAAGGGAATCAAATACAGGTACAATGGGGGAACAAAGAGAATCAAATATGGGTACAATAGGAGGACAAATGAATCAAATATGGGTACAATGGGATACAAATTAGCCAAATACGGGTACAATGAGATGCAAAGGAATCAAATACAGCTACAATAGAAGAAGAAAGGGAATCAAACAGGGAAATAATAGGAGGACAAATGGAATCAAATACAGGTACAACAGGAGGACAAAGGAACCAAATATGGGTGCAATAGGGAGCAAAGGGAACCAAACATGGGGCAATAGGAGAAAAAGGGAATCAAACAGGAGGACAAAGGGAATCAAATATAGTGTAGGTATGATAGGGGACAAAGAGAATCGTATGTGGGGCAATAGAGGGACAGAGGAAATCAAATATGGGGACAGTAGGGAAAACAAAAAAGAATCAAATCCAGGGAATCAAATAAGAGCACAATAAGGGGACAAAGGGGGAAATTATATGAGGACAATAGGGGGATAAGGGGAATCAAATATGGGTATAATAGGAGGACAACAAAGGGAAGCAAACATGGAGACAATAAGGTAACTTATTTTTGTTTTCCCCTCTGATCTGATAAATGCTAGACATGCAATATATAAGCACCACATTTAGATCCATTTTTCCTAAACTGATCTTACAAATTAAATCTGGAATTTCTTCAGAGCACTTTATTGATCAAAAATGTAATTTTTAATTTATAAGTAGATTAATTAAAATTGTGGAAAACTCTCGGGAATGACATGTGGTATACTGTATTAGATATTCGATACACCATACACTTTATAGCAAATGGAAATTTTCCAAACTCTCCAACTGTTTCTTTTTCATCCCAACCTGAATAAAAATGGAATGGGTTCTTTGAGAGTTCATTTTTGATCAGAATATCTTACAACCAATTATGTAGAATGCCTGAATTGTAAACTGTGATGGCACTTTAAACAGACCCTGTTTTTTTTTCTCAAGGCAAAGTAACAGGTTTGCTGAATTCCAGTTATTATAAGAAGCCCATCTTACCTTCCACGTATGCCTTTACACCCCATTCCCATGCCAGAGCCACCAAGAAAAACCTTGTACTCCCAGGTATTGTGAAGGTATGTCACTGTCAGCTCTACTTACCGCGACCAATCACCAAACCAGATTGCTGTCACATGTGTCCAGGGGAGAGAATCCTTAGCCTTGTGTAAAATATGAGCCAAAGTATGGGAGCAAACCCTAAACAACACTTCTTTATTTTTTTATGAATGTTAATGAAATTTTCGTCTCATCAGGCTGTAAAGAAAGCTATACTGGAGGACATGGTGAAGACAGGAAAACAGGCCGGACTGAAGTCTTTTGAACAGGTATGAAATACATTTGAGTTTCTAGTTAAGCTGACCATACACTAATAGATTTTTTAATTATTGTTTGTATGAATTTTCTCAGTAGTACATTTAATGGCATGACGAATGTCATTTGAAAATACTTGAAAAACAATGTTTGCTTTTAACTTGATCTTGGAGTGGCTGGGCTTTCCTGAAGGAAACTCACATTTACTGGTAAAAATGAATTTTTTCAAGAAAAAAATCCATCCTGCTCCTTTTAGTTTTCTTGTCTCTGTGGTCAAAAATGAACGTTGATTTTAACGCCACTAATGATTACGACAGCGAAAAATGTTCACAATTTGACTAGTGTTTGTCAAGCTTAAGTCAGTCTCAAAGGAAGAGAGGAGGGTGGAGATAAAAGGAAGGAAGGCAGGGAGAGAGACGGAAGGAATGAAAAAAAAAAAAAAAAAAAAAAAGAGGGAAGGGAAGGAATGGCAAGACAGGACAGGAAGGAAAGAAAGAGGGGAGCAAAGAAAGGAGGGGAAGAAAGGAAGAAGAAAAAGGATACAAAAGGAAAGAAGGAAGAGATACATAGAATGAACTGCTATGATGAAAGGAGGTAGAAGATAGAAGGAAGAAGGGACTGTAGGGGAATGAAGGGAAGAGAGGCAGAAAAGGAAGGAAGGGAGGAGAGGCAGAAAAAGAAGAAAGCAGGAAGGAAGGAAGAGAAGCAGAAATGGAAGGGGGGAGAATGGAGGGGAAAGAGTAAAAGGAAGGAAATGTTAGGTAGAATAAACTGCTACAAGGAAGAAATCATCATGATGAAAGATAGGAGGGGACAGAAGGCAAAGTAGGAGAAAGAGGGGAAAGGAAAGAAAAAAAAGTAGAGGGAAGGAAGGCAAAGCCAGGGATAGAATGGAAGGGATTTGGAAAAGGAAGGGAAGAGTGGAGAGGAAGGAAGGGAAGCTGAAAAGGAATAAAGCAGGGGAATGAAGGGAAGAATGGAGGGGCAGGAAGAAGGGGAGGGTGGAATGGAAGGAAGGCAGAAAAGGAAGAAAGGAAGACATAGGTAGAATGAACTGCTACAAAAGCCATTTATTAGTTTACTGCAAAGACCTTCCAATTTTATTTTGCTGTTTTTATGAAATTAAGAAACTAACAAAAAAAAATTCAAAATTTGTCATTCTTGCACCTACACTCACTGGCCACTTTATTAGGCCCACCTTGCTAGTACCGGGTTGGACCCCCTTTTGCCTTCAGAACTGCCTTAATTCTTCATGGCATAGATTCTACAAGGTGTTGGAAACATTCCTCAGATTTTGTTGCATATTGACAAGAGTTACTGTTGCCCTTCTATCATCTCGAACCAGTCTGCCCATTCTCCTCTGACATCAACAAAGCATTTTCGTCCCACACAACTGCCGCTCACTGGATATTTTCTCCATTTTTTTTTTGGACCATTCTCTGTAAACCCTAGAGATGGTTGTGCATGAAAATCCTGGTAGATCAGCAGTTTTTGAAATATTCAGAGCGGCCCGTCTGGCACCAATAACCATGCCACGTTCAAAGTCACCTAAATCTAATTTCTTCCCCATTCTGATGCTCGGTTTTAACTTCAACAAGTCATCTTCACAACATCTAGATGCCTAAATGCATTCAGTTGCTACCATGTGATTGGCTGATTAGCAATTTGTGTTACCAAGCAATTGAACAGGTGTATCTAATAAAGTGGCTGCTTTGTGTATGTGTATACACTACTCAAAAAAATTAAAGGAACACTTTCTAATCAGAGTGTAGCATCAAGTCAATTAAACTTCTGGGATATTGATCTGGTCAGTTAAGTAGCAGAGGGGGTTGTTCATCCGTTTCAGCTGCTTTGGTGTTAATTACAGTAAATTAAAAAAAGATGCAACAATGAGACAATCCCCAAAACAGGAATTGTTTTAAAGGTGGTGGCCACTGACATTTTTGCCCTACTTATCTTTTCTGACTGTTTTTCACTAGTTTTGGATTTGGCTAAGTGTCACTACTGGTAGCATGAGGTGATACCTGGACCCTACAGAGATTGCACAGGCAGTCCAACTCCTCCAGGATGGCACATCAATACGTGCCATTGCCAGAAGGTTTGTTGTGTCTCCCAGCACAGTCTCAAGAGGAGATTCCAGGAGACAGGCAATTACTCTAGGAGAGCTGGACAGGGCCGTAGAAGGTCCTTAACCCATCAGCAGGACTGGTATCTGCTCCTTTGTGCAAGGAGGAACAAGATTAGTACTGCCAGAGCCCTACAAAATGACCTCCAGCAGGCCACTGGTGTAAATGTCTCTGACCAAACAATCAGAAACAGACCAGTGATACCCTGGTCCAGATCTGGGAGGAAATACCCCAGGACACCATCCATCATCTCATTAGGAGCATGCCCCGAGGTCGTCAGGCATGCACACAAGCACGTGGGGGCCATACAAACTACGGAGTTCCTAACACATTATCCCGTCCATTTCAGTATAGATATCCAGCATGATATTTTTCCCAACTGAGATCTGATGTGTTTTGAAAGTGTTCCTTTAATTTTTTTGAGCAGTGTAGTTGCAAGAAAGAGTTCCCATAATCCCCCATGTCAGACAAAGAGACAAGCAAGGCAGATCTAATCACATGAAAAAGAAAACTAGAAATTGCTTCTCACATGTGTCTCAAGCTCTCTAGAAAGGGCACTCCCTATACTCACCTTATTTGCACTCCCTCACAGCTTCTTTCCTCCTCTGCAACCAATACTGAAATCATCAGCAGAGAAGTATCTGCACTAAAGATCGATTCAATCTATGCCACATGTAGAGATAACCTAGAAGGGATAGTTTCTTCTCTTCTCAGCAGAACTGAAACTTTCAAATGTAATTGTACAGAGCTGTGACCTGTGCTATGCTCTTTCAGGTGAAGGATATTTATGTGCACCAAGAGATGATGAGCATTGAGAATGGTCTGCTGACCCCGACGTTGAAGGCAAAGAGAGCGGAGGTGGCAAAGTATTTCAGAAGTCAGATCGATGAGCTGTACTCCAAGATCCAGGAATGATATGAACTGATCTAGCACAAAGCATGCAATGGGACTTGGCACAACCACCGCCATGATGGAGGCGCTCCAGAACATGGATCTGGATTGTCATATCCAGGATTGTTTTGGGGGTTTTTTTTCAGCTTCCAGCAAGCATTGGGGCATGAAACATCAGGATTCTATGAAAGACTGCCAGTGACTTTACGGGAAATGTCATGTGTATCTATGTATACGCTGTACAGTAATTCTGTCAAATATGTAGAATCATTTCATTATTTTTTTTTTAAGAATTAAAGGTGTTCTCTTTGTCCTGGGATGTTCACACACCGCCATGTATCCTACCAGCTGGACACACTTACAACCTATCCATATAATAATGTTAATTGTAAGATATTTTCATTTCATGTAACCTCACACAGCACTGATGACATGTACTACTGTGTATCTTACACAGCTGAAATACATCATGGAGCTGTTAAACTTTTGTACATCCAGTACTGAGATTTACACAGTCCTGCCACACAGCATAGTCAGGAGAGGAAACCTGGGGGAAGATTTACTAAAACTGGGGCATTCAGAATCTGGTGCAGCTGTAAATGGTAGCCAAACAGCTTCTAAGTCCTGCTTTACACCACAGAGATTTCAGAAGTTAAAAATTGCACCTGAAGTTGCATCTATTGTATTTCTATGGCAGTCTTAATCAGTGCGAATTGAAGTAACACGAGTTCAGAAATAGTTCCTGCACTACTTTATTTTTTTCGCACTACTTATTTTTTTCGATTTCATTGCAACTTGCATTGACTCCTGTTAAATGAAGTTGTAAGCCACAGTGAAATCAGAGGTACAAATCGCAATGATCTGCAGCTTTGAAATCGCGCTACTTCAAGGGAAGTAAAGCGATTTCAAAGTTGCATTCAGTGTGAACCAGCGCTGACTTCAGCTTGTTCGATTAAGCTTTGGCCATAAAACCTGGAATCTGATTGGTTTCAGTGCAAGAGCTGCACTAGATTTTGCACCCTCCAGTTTTAATAAATAATCCCTCGATTTTCCTCTGCTTCAGTTCCCACTTATGGATCTTGTCCCCTAGCCTCTGATTGGACTGCGAAAGATGCAGCAGACAGATGAGCTCATCTCCCTGTCACTCTGCTCTCCTCTTACCCCTGGTTCACATATATGTGGCCGTGCGGGCTGCGTTTTGTGCGGGCATGAGAGCCCATTCATTTGAATGGACTCCCGTGCCCCGTGACACGCAGAGAAGTCCATGCACTTCTTCTGAAAACGCAGCCCGCACGGGAACCTCAGTTCACAGTACAGTTGCGTTTTCCAGTGTGGGCGGCGCGCCATTAGAACTAATGGCAACCGCCCGCGGGTCCCCATTCCTCTGTGCGGGTGGTGCGGCTGCACGGATTTTCGTGCGGATCCGCAGCGGCACCGCCCACACATATGTGAACCTAGCCTTATCAGCATGTCCCCTGTAAGTACATGAGCTCTGCAACACAGTTTTGACTTTTTGGCTCTTTGTGCTGCTATTCTCTTTCCTTATCTGAGTTTTGCTTTAAGGCTCCGTTCACACCAATGCGTTTTTAGTGTTTTTGGCAGAAACGCACTACAGTCCATTTAACATGGTTTTCTATGGAACACGTTCACATCTATGCTTTTTTTGAGCTGCTGTGTTTTTGGAAAGGGTCAGGGATTTTTTTTTAAAAAAAGAGAAAACAGGTGGCACACACACCTAGTGCATTATCCAAGGTTTATTGTAAGGAGTGAAAAAATATATTAAAAACATACTCACAGACGAAGCATGTATCTAAAAAGCATAGAAAAATGACGATGGCCGCAACGGCAGGCAAGGTGTTCTCACTGTCAGTGCGGTCAAATGGCTGACGCGTTTCGGGGACAAATCCCTTTCCTCAGAGCTAATGACCAACC